TACATACATGCAGGCATAGCACTCATACACATAAAATAAAAATAATTTTTTTTAATTTAAATTTTTATTTATGTTTTTGCATGTATGTATGTGCATGTACTGCCCATGGAGGCCAGAAGAGGGTATCTTCTGGAACTGGAGTTACAGACAGTTGTGAGCTGCCATGTGGGTGCTGGGAACCAAACCCAGGTTCTCTAACCATGAGCCACCAAATTTAGTCTGGGCAACATAATGAGGTCCTGTCTCATACACACACACACACACGCACGCACGCACATGCACACACAAAAAAAATTAAAAATGAAGACAAAAACTAGGGCTGCGGAGATGGCTCTGTGGATAAAAGTGCTCACTGTCAAACCTGACAACCTGAGCCACATGGTGGAAGGAGAGAACTCCCAAAAGTTTTCTTCTAACCTGCACATACACACCGTGGTGTGTACCCACATGTGCACACACATCACACACACACACAAATAAATAAATAAGTAAATGTAATTTAAAAAATATCTGCTTTAAAAAGAAAAAGATACATTTCACATAGCAAAAACATTACCATTTCACATCATACAATATATAGACATAGTGTCATGCAACCATCGCTACTATGTAATTCTGGAAAGTCCATTGCTTTGATAAGACACCTTGTTTTGTTTTTTGTTTTTTTTTGTCCTGGAACTCACTACGTAGACTAGGCTGGCCTTGAACTCACAGAGACCCGCCTGCCTCTGCCTCCCCAGTGCTGGGATTAAAGGCCTGGCTGACAAGACACCTTGTATCTATTTGTAATCACTTCCTGTCTGTCCCTCCTCTGCACTTCTTGACATCATTAATCTACCCCTATCTTCATAGGTATGCCTATTCTGATCATATCATACCAATGAAGTCATACCACATGTACCCTTTCATGTCTGTCACCATAGATACCACCTATAGTTTCCACCTTTTGGATGCTATGACTATAAAACGTGTCTGTCTTTCTTCTCATTTCTTTTCTTAATTTATTTTGCTATGCTGGGGACTAAACCATGCATGCTAGATAACTGCCACTACCACTGAGCCATACCTCCAGCCTAGTTTTTACTCCCTGCTTCCATCTTTTGAGGCAGGGTCTCAAGTAGTCTGACCTTAAACTTCCTATGTAGCTGAGGATGGTCTTGAACCTCTTACTGATCCTCTTGCCTCCACCTCCCAAGTGCTTGGATTACAGGTGTGTGCCACTATGCTAACCTACCCTTTTTACTTTTTATTTATTTTTATGATGATAATTATTATTATTTTGAGTTTTTTAAGATTTCTTTATTTTAAAACATTAGATTTCTTTATTTTATGTATATGGATATTTTGCCTGCATGTATGTATGTGTACCATATGTGTTCCTGGTGTTCATAGAGGTCAAAAGAGGGCATTGCGTCCCCTGGAACTGGAGTTACAGGTGGTTGTGGGTGCTGGGAACTGAACTCAGGTCCGGTCTTCTGCAAGAACAGCCAGTGCTCTTAACCACTGAGCCATCATTCCAGCCCCTATTTTGGTTTTTTGAGACAAGGTCCATACAGTCCAGGCTGACCTTGAGTTTACCATGTATCTGAGGATGACATTGAACTGCGATCCTCCTGTCTCCTCTTCCCAGGTGCTGGGATTATATGTATGCACCACCATACCCTTTATTTGTTTGTTTATTTATTGTGCTGAGAATTAAGCCCAAGTCTTCTTATGCATTAGACAAGTGCTCTGCCACTGAGCTATATTTCCAGCCCTTTTAATTTTGATGAGGGACTCATTTAGTTGTCCAGGCTGCCCCTAAACCTGCTCTGCAGCCCATGCTTGCTTTGAGCTTAGAATCCTGCCTCACCCTCCTCAGTAGCTGGGATTATAGGTTTGCGCCACCAAGTCTGGCTTTTTTTTAATGTTTTTTATTTTTGTTCCATGCTTCCTTTGGTATACCAGGTAACATTTAGACATCATTCTGGACAGTTCTTGTCTGTGACCAGATTCTCTCTTGGATGACGTTAATTCCCAAGTATTTTGTAGCGCATTCCCCTGCCTGCTGCTTTTCTTCGGGCAGGCCTGAGGTTATGTGTTGTTGGCAGGAGGACCTCAGAGATAAAGCACCATTTTTCTTTTTTTTAGTTTATTATTTTACATATGGGTATATTGCCTGCATGTGTGTAAGTGTACCCATGTTGTGCAATGCCCGAGGAAGTTAGAAGAGGGCGTCAGATGCCCTGGAACTGGAGTTATGGATGCTTGTTAGATGCCATGTGGGTGCTGGGAATCAAACCCAGGTCTTCTGCAAGAGCAGTCAGTGCTCTCGACTGCTGAGCGATCTCTCCACCACCCCCCCCTCATGAGTTTAGCTTTTTTGTTTGTTTGAGACAGTCTCATATAGCCCAGGCTGGTCTTGAATTTCCAATGTAGCTGAGGTCTCTACCTGCCAAGTGCTGGGAATACAGGACAGTGCCTGAATTGTGCATGTTTTTTGTTGCTTTTGTTGTTTTACTTATTATTAGTGTGTGTGTGTGTGTGTGTGTGTGTGTGTGTGTGCGCCATGGCATGCTTGTGGAAGTTGGAGGACAGCTTTGTGGAGTCAGTTCTCTACTTCCACCTTTATGTGGGTTCCAGGGCTGAACTCAGGTCTTCAGACTTGTCGGGTGGCAAGTGCCATTATCCACTGAGCTACCTTGTCAGCCTTGCAATAGTTTTAAGACGTATTCCTAAGATCAGCAAGATGACTCAGTGGATAAAGGCACCTGTTGCCAAGCCTCAGGACCTGAATTTGATCCCTACATGGCTGAAGGAGAGAGCTGACTCCTGGAGAGAACTGACTGCTGCAAGTTATCCTCTGACTTCCACATGTGTGCCACACAAACTCACACACACACACACACACACACACACACACACACACACACACACAGAGTAAATAAATAAATAAATTCAAAACAAAATAAATGTATTCCTAGTAGTTCAGACTTTTTACCGTTTGGTTATCAGCTTGTCATTTCCTCCCTCCCTGCTTCTTTCTATCTGAAACTTTGTGAACTTTGTATGACTCCCATCTCTACCCACCACACCCCTTGTCTGCCTCCCCCTCTGGTAACCATCATTCTGCTAAGTCCTTCTGTGAATTCAGCTATTTAAACTCCTACATGCATGTGGGACCATGCTGTACTTGACTTTCTATGCCTGCTTTATTTTACACGGTGTAATGGTCTGTGCTTTCTTTGTCCATCCATCTGTTGATAGGCTGATTCCACATATTAATTATGAATAGTCCTGTATTGATTTCAGTTCCTTGAGTTGTATATCTAAAAGTGGGATTGCAGAATTATGTGGCAATTCTGCCCACCCCCTGCTGGGACGTAATTAGGTTTCTGGGCATACTAGGTAAAGTGGTTTACCAGTCAAACCCCATTTCATCTCTTGGCCATTCTATTTTTGTTTTTATTTTCTTGTGAGGAATTACCCTGTTTTCCATAATGGCTGGAATAATTTATACTCCCATCAGTAATACACAACATTCTCTTGTCAGCATCTTCATCAATTCATACCTCTCTTCTCTCTTTTTTCTTTCTTTCTTCCTTCCTTCCTTTCTTTCTCTCTTCCTTTCTTTTTCGCAGAGACAGAGATTATTGAGACAGAGCCTTGCTATGTAGCCTAGGCTGACCTGGAACTTCCTTTGCTGGCCAAACTGGCTTTGAACCCCCATTCTGCCTGCTTCTTCCCCCCAGAGCTGGGATTACAGCTGTGTACTACCACCATACTTCCTCATCTTTTTGTTTGTTGTTTTTTGTTTTTTTGTTTTTGGTCTTTTTGAGACAGGGTCTCCCTGTAGCCCCAGCTGGCCTGGAACTCACTATATAGACCAGGCTGGCCTTGAACTCACAGAGATCTGCCTGCCTCTGCCTCCTGAGTGCTGGGATTAAAGGCATGCACCACTGTGCCCGGCTCAATATTTTATTATTTTTATTTGATGTGTGTGAGTGTATTGCCTGCATGTATGTGAGTGCACCTAGGGCCGTGCACCTAGTAGTGCACCTAGGGTCGTGCAGTGCCGTGGAAGTCAGAAGAGGGCTTTGGATTCCCCTGGAACTGGAGTTAAGGACGGTTCGTAGCCACTGTGTGGGTGCTGGGAATCGAACCCAGGTCCTCTGCAAGAGTAGTCAGTGCTCTTAACCTCTGAGCCATCTCTCCAGCCCCATTTTATTTTGTTTTGTTTTGTTTTTTTGAGACCAGGTCTCACTGTGTAGCCCCAGCTGGCCTTGAACTCACTAAATAGACTAGACTGGCCTCAGACACAGATATCCATTTACCTCTGCCTCCTGAGTGCTGGGATTAAAGGTGTGTACCATTATGCCCAGCTGGCCATCATCTTTTTGTTATTGTATTTGAAATGGGGACTGTAGCCGCAGCTGGCCTGGAATTGGCTATGTAGGCCAGACTGGCCTTGATCCCATAGAAATTCGCCCGACTACCTCTGCCTCTGGAGTGCTGGGATTAAAGGAATATGCCACCTGCTTCCACCACCCACCCAGCATTGGCTCTCAGCATGTAGATGAGGCTATTCTAACAGGCGTGAGGTAATACCTCATTATGGTATGACTTTAGTGAATAAATAAAACCAGCCTGTCACCAGAAGGTGAAAACCCTGGGGCCGAATAAGAGCAGTCTGTCTTGCTTTCTGTCTCCTTTGCCTAGGAAGAAAGATGATAGGAAAACCAGGCAAAGCTTCTGATACCTAAATTTCAGGTGGTGAGAAGGGAGCTCACTGCCTTGCCTCATCTGTTTCCATTCCAGAAATGTGTGGCAGCAGCAGAGGAGGCTTTAGCTTTAGTTTGTTTGACTGGTCACAAAGCAGTTTACACAGATTAGTAGACAATTTTGACTAGTGTTGCATTATACATGGGCACAAAATTAGTTTTCACATTGCAGGATGTGTTGCATGTAAGCAGGGGATAGACTCGATATTTGAAGTATGCTATTGTGTTCTTATTTTTCAGTTAAATCCAGATGTGAATGTTTTCCAGAGGAAATTTGTCAATGAAGTAAGAAGATGTGAAGAAATGGATCGGAAGCTTCGTATGTGCAATTTGGTCTTGTATAATATTCAGAGTGAATCATTTTACCCAAATTAGAGCCATTAATCCTCCCAATAAAGGTTTCTGAGAAAGGAAACATTAAGGTCTTGAGGGTTAGGTGCTAATGAATGGTTGAATACTTTTTTCATTCGTTACCCACAACATTCCTTCAAGATAGCTGTTATCCTCATTTAATGACTGAGGAGCCTAAAGGTCAGAGAGCTGTGACTTCCTTGATATGCCCACAAACATAAGTGGTCATGATGGAATAAGTATTTGAAACTGGGTCATTCTGTTTGCTCCAAATTCATGATCCTGACCTCTTTCAAGCTGATAGATAAATTGGTCTCTTTTTTTTTTTTTTTTTTTTTTTTTTTTTTTTTTTTTTCTCTTTTTGAGAAAGGGTCCCCCTTTTGCCCCAGCTGTCCCGGAACTCACTATATAGACCAGGCTGGCCTTGAACTCACAGAGATCTGCCTGCCTCTGCCTCCCAAGTGCTGGGATTAGTGTGCGCCACCACGCCTGGCCCGGTCCCTATTTTTTTAAAAAAATATTTTATTTATTATTTTCATTTTATGTGTATGAGTGTATTGCCTGCATGTATGTGAATGCACCCGTGTTGTGCAATGCCTCGGAAGTCAGCAGAGGGAGTGGGATTCTCTTGGAACTGGAGTTAAGAACGGTTCATAGCCACCATGTGGGTGCTGGGAATAGAACCCGGGTCCTCTGCAAGAGCAGTCAGTGCTCTTAACCACTGAGCCATTGTTCCAGCCCTATTTTTAAAAAGCCAGTAGTTATCACTGAAACACTTTCTTTTTTGGTGTTTTGGGTTCTTTTTTTTTTTGGTCTTTTTGAGACAGGATCTTCCTGTAGACCCAGCTGTCCTGGAACTCACTATGTAGATCAGGCTGGCCTTGAACTCATAGACATCTGCCTGCCTCTGCCTCCCAAGTGCTGGGACTACAGGCGTGCGCCACCAATGCCCAGCTTTGTTTTGGGTTGCTTTATACTTGATTTTGACTCTTCATACTTAGAAATGAACTGTTTCCAAATTTAGTGATTTCTGTTGATTTTGCATTGTTTCACTTGTGTTATGTGTCAAATATTCTCTTATACTACACTCCCCTAGAACTTTAATCAACAGTATACCTGCGTGGGGAGCTGCCTCTCTTGAGGGAGCAAGTTACATGGCGTGGGGAGGTAAAGTGGCTACAAGCCAGCCTTAAAACTGGAAGAAATTCAGACATGGTTGTGTACACCAGTAATCACAGGGAAAGACAAGTAGAGTATCAGGAGTTCAAGGCCATCCTCAGTTACATAGCAAGTTGGAGGTCAGCCTGGACTACGTGAGACTCTGTCTCAAAACAGGCCAGGTATGGTGGTGCGTGCCTTTAATCCTAGCAGTCTGGAGGCAGAGGCAGGCAGATGTCTGAGTTTGAGGCCAGGGTCTTTGGGATAGCTTTTAGAGAGTGAGATGCAAGAAGAGTGTGAGAAAGAAGAATTTGGACAAAAATGGCGGTGCTTCTTTTGTACACAAGTTTTTTCCTAGGATGAAGCTCTTTCTAGGCAGGTTTTAGATTTTTTATTGTTTTTTCCTCAAATAATGGGAATTCCAGGCATGAATAGTACATGTGACTCCTCTGACTCTTATCTTTTTAGGATTTGTTGAGAAAGAGATAAGAAAAGCTAACATCCCAATTATGGATACTGGTGAGAACCCCGAGGTGCCCTTCCCCCGAGACATGATTGACTTAGAGGTAAGCACATCTGAGAAAGGCAGACACATTGCTTTTTAGCTAAATGCAGGTGCTACTTTTCTGAGTGGGTTAAATAATTCTTACCAACTTTGTAAGCATTGTCTTTTATTATAGGCTTTTTCTAGGTGGGGCTAAAGTAAACTCCCTCTTTTGTATATCAAACAATGTTTCAGACAGAGTTAATATATGATAATATGCTACTAAATCAATGCTTATTGGCTTACTGAACCCTTTCATAAGCTAAATGCATAGCTAGTAGGTTTTTTGATATTTTATGTATCTGAACTCCCTCAAGAAACTTACTGAGGACAGGTATGGTGTCTCACGCCTTTAATTCCAGCATTTGGGAGGCAGAGGCAAGTGGATCTCTGTGAGCTCAAGGCTAGCCTGGTCTACACAGTGAGTTCCAGGTCAGCCAAGGCTACATGGGATACCTGTCTCAAAAGAAAGAAACTTATTGAGTATACAACAGAATCTGTAGACAAATAGACTAATTAAAGCAAAAAACTTTTTTAGAATAGCTCTAGTAAAATCACAGTATTTTGCTAATGTATCTGATCTGTTAACATGGCAACAGTTCTGGATAAATTCAGTTATTGTCTTTCAGAGTAAGCTTAATTTTGTTTCTTTTTCTTTTATTTTTTTTTCTGGTCTTTTTGAGACAGGATCCCCCTATAGCCCTAGCCAGCCTGAAACTTACTATGTAGACCAGGCTGGCCTCAAACTTAGAGAGCTCTTCCTGCCTCTGCTAGGATTAAAGGCGTGGGCCACCACACCTGGCCCAGAGTAACCTTAGTTGGAATTAATAGTTTCCTTTTTTCATTCCAGGCCAATTTTGAGAAGATTGAAAATGAACTGAAGGAAATCAACACAAACCAGGAAGCTCTGAAGAGGAATTTCCTGGAACTGACTGAGTTAAAGTTTATACTTCGCAAAACTCAGCAGTTTTTTGATGAGGTCAGACTATTGTTTCTTTTAGTATTTGAGCAGCTGATACCTACACAAATGGGCCATATTTCTATTCCAGTAACTGTTTTAATTTGCTAATTGGAGCAATACCATGTTTGCACCCTGCTTTGGTTGAAGAATGCCAGATTGTGTTCCATTTTTCATGCAATGCACAGTCAGCCATGGTTTTCTGTATTTTCACATTTTCTGCAAATTTTCATCTCAAGATGTGGGAAAGGAGCCCTAAAGTTGATACATAAATATAGTTAGTTGAAATTTTTGTATGATACTTATATTTATGTGTTTTGAGGTAAGTGTTATTAAGGTGATTTAAGTGTTATGAGGTTAGGTTAAAAATTGAAGAAACAAAGCCAGGCGTGGTGGCGCATGCCTTTAATCCCAACACTCTGGAGGTAGAGGCAGGTGGATCTCTGTGAGTTCAAGGCCAGCCTGGTCTACATAGTGAGTTTCAGGACAGCTGGGGCTACAGGGAGACCCTGTCTCAAAAAGACCACCAACAACAACAAAAAAGTTGAAGAAACAAATACCTGGTTATATACAAAATGATAGTGAAGATTCACTCTCCAAACCTTTTGTCATCAAATTATTATTTTATTCTTTGTGTTCACTTTCCAACCTTTGGGAACATTCTTCAGCACTTCAGATAGCATGCCACACTGATTTTTTTCAAGAGTTGCTCATTGTGTTGTATGGAAATACTGGTATGATGCTTATTTGAATTCTCACATAAACACTACCTTGTTACTTATATAAGGAAAAAGTTGGTAAGTTCCTGAGTTAAATATAAAGGTACTTGGTCTGGAGAGATGGCTCAGTGGTTAAGAGCACTTATTACTCTTCCAGATGACACAGCACCCACAATAGACAGCTCACAACTGCCCATAACTCCAGCTTCAGGGAAGCCAGCACTCTCTTCAGGCCTCTGCAGGCACCCCCACACATGTATCGTACACATACACAGATATTCACATGCACATAAAATAAAATAAATAAAATTACTAAGTTGCCAAACAACAGCTTTCTAAGGAGACCCTCTTGAAAGGAGTTAGTGTCAGGTTTGCAGAAGGCTCCCTTCTCCTGATTAAACTTAGAAAGGATTATTAACTTCCAGCCTGGGTGTGGTTTTTCTGATGACCTAAAATATTGATAGCTCTTTTTGACAGGTAACTTTGCCACCAACTTAAAAACATTAGACACCTCCTTTGCTTGACAAACAAACACCTTAACAAAGCTTTTAAATATAAAAGACCCATTTCAGTTAGTGCCTGAATGTCCCCAGTTCTATTTTTATCTGTATGTCCTGGAAAAAGATCAGTTCTCCATAGTTCTTGAGGTTGGAGAAGGGGCTTTCAAAATAGCAGCAACAGCCTCACCTTGGAACTTGTAAGAAATACAAAATTATCGGTCCTCACCACAGACCTAATAAGTCAGGAACCCTGGGACCAGGTCCAGACAGTTATTTTAACAAGACCAATTTGAGGCATGCTACTTTGAAAACCACCATCTAGAGAAAATCTGCTGAGGGAATGATACATTCCTCAGTAACCATGGATTTGACTCAGACCTGTTAATTAAAAGGATCTGTGGAGGTAAGGGATTGGGACCACCTCACATGCATTTAACTGCCTAGTCCTCTGGAGAGTGAGAATCTGGTTACATATCAATAGAGGTTTAGTGTGACTCTTCAGTTTGTTCACCAAGTTGAGAATTTTTAGACTAATCCCTTAATAGCATTGCTTTAGAAGATGTGAGACAGTGTGAAGAACTCTTTCCAAGTGTTTAAGGTCTTTTGCAAAAGGCATAGTCACTTATGCCATATGGTTCCACTGAATGTGGAATCCCAGGATGCTCACTGCCTAATATGAATGTATTCTTTTCTTTTTTTATTTTTATTTTATGTGTAAAAGTATATTGCCTGCATGTATGTAAGTGCACCTGTGTCGTGCAATGCCGCGGAGGTTAGAAGAGGGCTTCATATTCCCCTGAAACTGGAGTTAAGGACGGTTCGTAGCTGCCATGTGGGTGCTGGGAATCAAACCTGGGTCCTCTTAACCGCTGAGCCATCTCTCCAGCCCCATGAATGTATTCTTATTTGTTACACCCTCAAACACATAATGAAAACTTACTCTTTATGAGGTACAAGTTATGTAAGACCTAGTCCCTATGTTCAAAGACCATGTTGTTTAGTTATAACAAGAAACCCGTGAACACAGTGCTCCTTGTACTCAACAGATGTGTGCTTTCCTATGTGTGTCCAAGCTCTGCCCACAATTCCAGTGTATACCTGCCCTCACGGTCAAAGCTCAGTTATTTTTAGCATCATGTATGGCTTCTTTTACATTGATCCTGTCCTTATATGGGGACAGGATCTCCCTGTGTAGCTCAGGCTAGCTTTGAACTTGAGATCCTCCTGATTGATAGTACAAAGACAGCCTGGGCTATAGAGTGAGGCTGTCTAAACCCCCCCCCCGCCCCGCCACCAAAAAAAAGTTCAGCAAAAATAAGGGGAACCGCTTGGAAAGATGATTTGCTACTTAAAAATTATACTTTAGAAACTGGATGTGATGATGTATGCTATGATCCCAGCATTTTGGAGACAGAGACAGGAGGACCAGGAGTTCACAGTCAGCCTCAGGTTCATAGAGAGTTTGAGGCCAGCTTGGGCTACATGAGACCCTATCTCAAAAAACATAAAAGAAGCTAAAGGATTAGGAATTTATTTTGTGATTACCAAGTCTAAACATTAAGCGCCAGCCCTGAGAAGACAGCCCCCACTTCTTTATGACCTTCATGCCCTATCCATGGTGACCTGTTTTCTCTTTTATAAACTTTCCTCCTAAACTCCCAAATTCTTAGAGCATAAGGCCTTGGCTGTGGGAGCTTCTCCCACTGCTTTTTTGATCAGTCAGTGCCCTTTCATTTCAAGCACCCACACAGCAGTACAGAAAGTCTGGCCAGAACCACTGTGCTTTATCTCTCCACATACAGTCAGCACCTTGCGCACCTTTGCCTGTTTCATAGTCTCACAGGCCCCTTCCCCTAGACCTTGCCCTTGCGGCTGCCAAATAGCAATTGCAGATGTTATTGCCCTGATCAGAGATAAGGCCTCACAGCGTGGTCACATGTATACATGCAAATGCACATTTAGGTATCACTAAAAGGTGAGCAAACTTGGGACTTTCAGATGTTGGAAATTCCATTCTTACTGAGATTTTGTACCATGTTTGGAATTGTAATATTTGCAAATGGCCCTAAACACTACTGATTATAAACCTCTCCTCTTTTTTTGGAATTGGGTGGATTCAATCAATAATTCATACTAATCGGTTAGCTGAAAATGGCTAAATCAGAAAATGATGCTTTCCTTATTTAGGCATGCTGGTTGTGACTGGCAAGGTATGCAGAAAGGGAAGCATAAACATATATTGAATATTCTTATGATTTAAGATGATTATCAATCCAACCGAGCCATTTCTTACCCAGAGCATTAAAACGATTTGTTAATGATTATCCTTTTCTCAGTCTTCTTGCTTATGGAGAGCTGTAAGAGCTGGAGAGGTTTCTCTGCATCTTTTACCATAAGAACCATAACATATGAGAACGTACAGAAGACTGGAAAAGTAATGGTTAATGGCATGCAGACCCCTGCCTTCCTTCCTTCTGAGTTTTCCATCTATCTGCTTTCTTTATTTTTCTTTTCCATCTGCATCTCTTTTGGGTGAAGACCTCCAGTGGTGAAATGTAATTTCTTTCTCACGGTAGATAGAAGGTCGAGTATTTATTTTTAGTAATTGGCACAGCTTGTCTGGACGTGCTGTTTATATTTAAATGCTATAGACAGAGCTGAAGTTCCATTCAGCTGTTGCTTTTTTTGGAAAGCATGATTGTCAGTATTATGAATGGGGAAAAGGACAACTCAGAGGGCAGAGCAGATAATTTAGAGACACTGGCAGTGTTGTTACTAGAGAACCCAGGTTGACTGTGATTACATTTTGGCTGCTCAATACATGGTTTTAGATCTTTCTTTAACGGCCCTTAGTGGTTCTGGCCATCCTAGTTTCCCATCAGGCACAATTCTATTTTTTTATTTTAACTCTCCTATCTAAGATATAGTATTCATGTATGAAGTGGTAAAATTAGTGTTTAGTATGTTGATCTTCTGCTTAATTTTACTTCTGCTGTTTTTACCTCAGAGAACCCCAGATGTAATCTTTGAAGCAGACCAGTTGATAAGTGCTGTTTGCTGTTCTGTCAGTTGTGCCCTTTAGAACACATAGGTTTGCACAGAGTCTGGTGTGTGGGGTTTACTTAAGGAAGGTTCTGAGAACAACATAAGCAAGTTGGAGGGAGTCTTGTGGATAGCATTCAATTTCAGGCATTTCGCCAAAGGATATGCCAAGAGCAAGTTGAAATATAGCCTTTGAATACTTAAAAAAAATTGCTCTCAGGCAGCTGATTTGTTTTTAGATTAAAAAAAAAAAAAAAGAAAAAGCCTTATCCATCCACATACCAGGAAGTAGTAACCAGTGGCCTCATTATCTCATCTTAAACATATTTAATCTTATCACTATATTTCTCTGCCCTTGTGTGCTTTTTGTGTTAAATCAGCCTTGACCTAACTTCCCAAAATAATTACTTTCACTTTTTTTGGCCTTCAGCATTATCTGATTTGCACTTACTTTTCCCTTTTCTTTGTTATATTTATGGTCCATGACCTTACCATATAAGGTAAGCATTAAACTATATAGTTTATATATATAGTACATATGTATAAACTATATGGTTTAATTGACAAGGGTAAGATCAGATTGAAATTTGGAATGAAAATGAGAGACAGTTTTCTCCTGAAGTTTTGTTTTGCTTTTGAATAGGAAGATTGTTCTGGCTTTTTCTAGTCTTTGGTCAGACAAGTAGTGCTTGGATATTAAAGTTGGGGAGATTAGGCAGTGGAGAAGGTGATCAGACTTAGCATTTGAGGGTAACTTCAGACTAAGGGTGTTAGAGAGAGGCAAGGGAATGATAGACAGCTGTGGGAAATCTTTTGCTTTCATTTCATTGTATAAACTGTCCTGGTGGAAGTTGTTTTAAATTTAACCAATTAAGGAGCCCAGGCGCTCTAGATCTGCTGCTTTTTCTCCACTTAACTGGATTCTTGAGCTATGTTCTCTACTGTAAAGCCTATACAAACTTCAGTATTCCTAAATTCCTAGTCAGAAAACACAACATTCAGACATTCAGATGTTTTTTATTTTTCTTTTTTGGTCTTTTTTTTTTTTTTTTTTGAGACAGGGTCTCCCTAGCCCCCACTGACTTGGAACTTACTGTGTAGACCAAGCTGATCTTGAACTCCCATAGATCCATCTGCCTCTGCCTCTGCCTCTGCCTCCTGAATGCTGGGATCAAAGGTGTACAGCACCAAAAGCATTTTTTGCTTTTTCTAACCTTTAGGAGTGCAAGAGGGGGCTGGAGAGATGGCTCAGCAGCTAAGAGCACTGACTGTTCTTGCAGAAGACCCAGGTTTGAATCCCAGCATCCACATGGCAGCTAACAGTTGTCCAACTCCAGTTACAGGGGATCTGATGCCCTCTTCTGTCCTTCACTGGTACTGCATGACGTTGGGTGCACTTACACACGTGTAGGCATAACATTTGTACACATAAAGATTTTAAAAATTTGTTTTTAAAAGTGCAAGGGAGGCTCTGGCCTGGCCAGCTGTTGTGCTGCTCCATTCTAGGAAATGCTCTTCAGAGCCCATGCTTAAGGGCATTTTATCTGTGGCTACAAGGCCTGCAAAACCTAGTTACATGGAGGTGCCGCCATCTCCAGATCATGCTTCTAACCAGGAAGTTCTCGAGACCACCTTCCACATTGTGGCACAGAGGAGTTCTACTTTGTAACAGTCTAGAAATGAAATATTCAGAGTATCTGCAGATCTGCTATTTTTTTCCCTCAAAAAGGAGAACATTTAAGCTTCTTGCCCACACTTACAAGTATTTCCTGGTTTATTCAGGGAAGCAGTAAAGGAAAAGTGACTTCCATCAAGTAACAGCTTATACATGTCATCATCACTCATGTTTCTCTTCTGTTCCTTATGGCTAAAATCATTTCCTCAGATGTTTTACTGGGCGGTTATGCTTTCTTTACCTCGTGTTCGTTTCCTCTTTTCTCTCTTATTATTCTTTTCGTGGGTGTGCTCTATCTTTTGGTGGCTGCTTTTTTTTTCATCATCTTTATTTTCTGAATCCGTCTCCTGGTTCCTCGTTCCCTGCATGCCACTAACTATTTTCATTAGATATTAATTGATTTGTGAATTCAGGCTGAATTGCATCATCAGCAGATGGCGGATCCAGACCTGTTGGAAGAGTCCTCATCACTCTTGGAGCCGAATGAGATGGGAAGAGGCGCACCTTTAAGACTTGGGTAAGTACCGCTTCGGCCTTCGCATACTTAGTGGGACCATGTTCCTCTTTGCTGTTCAAAAGAGCAGTAAGATATGATAGTGCACACATGTAATCCCAGCATTCACAAGGCAGAGGCAGGAAGATCATAAGTTGAGGTCAGCCGAGACTACCTGCTGAAGCCTCACTTTAAATTGTGGACTGCAGATGTAGTGGTAGAGCACTTGCCTAACATGTGCAAGATCCTAGCTTTAATCCCCAACCCCCCCGGGGTGGGGGCGAAGCATGAATCTGGAGATTGATTTATTGCCAGGAGCCACTTTTTTCTGAGCCTATTGAGAGGTTCCTGGGTCTCTTTGGATTCAGTTCCTGAGTTATCTGTCAATTCTTTGTGGAGTCCAGAAGTGAGGTTTGGAGCAAGACTGTGGCAGCCAGCCCTCTTGACATGACAGTATATCGTCACATATGTAGTGCATAATCTTTCCCTGTCCCCTCTCTGTTTCCTGCTTTGTCTTAAAGTCTCCTGTCCCATGACACAGACTGGAGTTCCCAGCCTGACTTTCCTCCCCACAGCTTCGTGGCTGGTGTGATTAACCGGGAGCGCATCCCTACTTTTGAGCGCATGCTTTGGCGAGTGTGCCGAGGGAATGTGTTTCTGCGGCAGGCTGAGATCGAGAACCCCCTGGAGGATCCTGTGACTGTAAGACAAGGACATTGCATCTTGTGGAGTAGGTCTTGTAAAGGGAGCCCAGAGCACAACATGATGTCACCTGAATCCCACCCTGCCTCAGAGGAGCCCCTGCTTGATCTGAGGACTTGAAGGACTGCTCCTCTCCTCTCTAACTTAGCTCCCTCCATGTGTACATTGATGTGTACATGACATGTGCATGTTTTCCAACTTTACCCACACAGGCCTTACTTATTTCTATTGCACTTTCCCCCAGTTATTCTAAACTTTAGCTTTATGTATTTCTCGTTACTAATTTTTACGAAAATTAACTTAAAGCATGGTAATATCTTGCATCAAAATAGGGATTTCTTAAATGTAATCTTTATAAGCTGATAAAACTTTTATGTGGTAAGATTTTACTATCTCCTTGTTTGTCGGGAAAATGTTAGTATAAGTATAGATATTATAAAGATGAGGATGATCTTCCCTATCCAGCCCTTTGGGAAGTAGGAATAGTCTAATATCTTCACATTTGTCACAGTGAGAGATTTCATAGCCTAAACCTACCTGAGCAGGGGGGTCTTGACCTCATGGAAGATCAGTGAACATTCGATGTATTACAGAAATTTCACTTCACTCTGCTATTAATATTATTTAGAAGCCTGGAGTTGACTTTTTGGTTCTAGATTATCTTATGAATATCTTCAATTGGTATTTTCACCCTAAAAGAGAGAGAATTTGGAGACTTCTCAGCTTGGGTAGGTCATGCAGCTCCGTGGCTTTTATCCTTTGTACTGATTAGGAATGTGGTGACGCAGTCCTTTAACCTTGGGGTGCAGCTTTGCTGTCCTCCTGAAGGAAACACCGTCATCTGTAGTCAGGCCTAATGTGGAACCCTTCTCAGGAATGATCAGGCTTCCTCTTGGCAACAGAAAGATTATTTTATCAACAAATCCAGGAAAGGCCAACATGATATCAGTACCAAGCAGCTGCACAGAGAATGGGCTGCAGTTCAGCCTGGAGAATGAGGGATTAAGAGTCCTGAATGTACTCTAGGTGTAAACTTGGTATTTGGGGTTGTCAGCCTTTTTCCCGTCCATAAAGTCTAAATTAGTATATGATTCTTGAGAGTCTACGCCAGCATTCTCCCCAGTGACTTAGTTCCTGTCGTTATGCAACCCCTTTTATCTGGGACTTTCTAAGCCCAAGAACAGACAGACTTCCTTCTTGTTTCCTCTCCTCTTTTTTTCTATTCTGGAAATATACTTCAAGTGGGATTGGAAAATAAGGCTGAAGTGTGCTGGGGGCCGTCCTTTCAGCGTTCAGGCTTCTGTGTGTAAAACAGAAAGATTTTTGTGAATTAGAGGTTACAGAGCAGATGATCCTGAAATGAAGGTTAAGGAATGGATTAAGGGTAAGGGTTAAAGTACAAGACACCTTATCCTTAAAGAATGCCTGCTGTTCTGATATCACCCAGAGTTAGTTGTTCGAGAACTTTTCAGCTAGACCTGGTGGCTCACCCCTGTAATCCCAGTACTCAGGAGTTTGAGGCTAGGATTATTGTAAATTCAAGACTGGTCTAGGCTACATAGTTAGTTCCAGGCTAGCCTGAGCTATAGTTATAGAGTAAGACCCTGTCTCAAAAAAATTCCCCAAAGAAAGGAAGTCTTCATCCATATTGAGAGTTCTGAACTCTTGGTTTTTGCTTCTGGGGCCCAGGGCGACTACGTGCACAAGTCTGTGTTCATCATTTTTTTCCAAGGCGATCAGCTGAAAAACAGAGTCAAGAAAATCTGCGAAGGGTAAGGGAGTTTCCATTGAAGAGGACACAGCCCTGCTGCCCAGCTGCTGACTCTTAGGATTTAGAATAGTGAAGATGGGGACTGGAGAAATGGCTCAGTAGTTAAGAGCACTGGCTGTTCTTACAGAGGACCTGGGTTCAATTCACAGCACCCTCATGAAAGGTAGCAACCTTCTGTAACTGCAATTCCAGGGGATCCAACACCCTCTTCTCTCCTCCCTGGGCATTGTACAACATGGGTACACTTACACACATGCAGGCCAAATACTCATACACATAAAAGTAAATTTAAAAAAATTAAAATAACGCCAGGTGTGGTGGCACAAGCCTTTGATTCCAGCACTCAGGAGGCAGAGGCAGGAGGATCTCTATGAGTTTGAGGCCAGCCTGGTCTACATAGTGAGTTCCAGGCCAGCTGGGGCTACAGGGAGACCCTGCCTCAAAAAGACACACACAAAAAAATTAAAATAAAACAGAATAATGAAACGCAGATCCTTGTTTGTTCTGTTTATGCAGTGAATGCATTATTTAATGACGTGAATATTTTAAATTACTAGAATTTTCCATTTGTTTGTTTTTAAGTATCAGAACCATAATTTGGGGGTTGGGGAGATGACTCAGTAGATAAAGCACTTACTGTCAAGTGTGAAGACTGGAATGTGGGTCACCACAACACACGTAAATACCATGTGGGCATGGCAGCCATGCTTGCTCCCAGTATGCAGGAGGCAGAGATGGGATCTGGAGCAAACTGGCTGACTGGACCAGCTGTAGGGTCAAGCTCTGAGACCCCTGAGAGACCCCACATGATTCAGGGAGAGTGTAAACAAGGAAGACCCCTGGTGCCAACCTTGGGCCTCCACAGGCATGCACACATATGCACATGCACCACTGTCCACCCACATGCATACATTCACAAGCACACTACACACATATACACATGTGAAAACAACAACAAAACCCTCAGTTTCCTTTATTCAGGGACAGTGAGTTTACATACCAGCATAGTACCATAGGCACTATATAAATTCTCTGAAATTCTGTGTTGTGGACAGAATTTTTGCATGCCATTTTTCTCTAATAATGTATAATAAAAATTGTTTTATTATTATTTTTTAATCTCAAAAGAATGTCATAGCTATAGAGAATGCCAAGTTGGCTCAGATGTTATTGTGATCTGTAGGTCACTTTATATAAATAATTAGTGTTCAGGCTGGAGAGATAGCTCAGTGGTTAAGAGCACTGGTTGCTTCTGCAGAGGACCTGGGTTCAATTCCCAGAACCCACATGGCAGCTAACAACCATCTGTAACTCCAGTTCTAGGGGAATCTGATGCCCTCTTCTGACCTGAGGGCATTGCATGATATGGGTGCACTCACATACATGCAGGCAATGCATTCATACACATAAAATGAAAATAACAATTAGTGTTGATTAGCACAATGGTTTGTGGTTTGATTGTATTAGTAAGTTAGGGTTACTTTCTGAGACTATTTAAATTGAACATGCTGACTTCAGTGTTCCTAAGACTGTTCTCATACCTTACAGGTTCCGAGCTTCCCTCTATCCCTGTCCTGAGACACCACAAGAGAGGAAAGAAATGGCTTCTGGAGTCAATACCAGGATTGATGATCTCCAAATGGTATACAGAGGACTTAGGAATTTGCTTTTGTGAGCTATTAAAGAGGTGGGGTATTCTTCTCCCATGAATCCTTAATAGTTTGTTAAGGCAGCTGCAGCAGTTCAGGATACCAAAAAAAGAAATGTGCATGGAGAATAAGTTTCCTGGGAGCTAGTAAAAGTCCCAGGGAATGACTGTTAAAAATAACATTAGTTGCTGGGCTTGGTGGCGCACGTCTTTAATCCCAGCACTCGGGAGGCAGAGGCAGGCAGATCTCTGTGAGTTCAAGGCCAGCCTGGTCTACATAGTGAGTTCCAGGACAGCTGGGGCTACAGGGAGACCCTGTCTCAAAAAGACCAAAAAATAAAATAAAATAAAATAACATTAGTCACCTCAAACAAGAAGGGAATGCTATGCGTTTGGAATTGTTATTGCTTATTCAGTTCCCCTCTACTTTATGAGTCTGAAATGCTTTTTACAATAATTTTTTTAAATTTATTTTTTATTTTATGTGTGTGAATGTATTGCCTGCATGTGTAAGTGCACCTGTGTTGTGCAATGCCACGAGGTCAGAAGAGGGGGTTGGATCCCCTAGACCTGGAGTTACAGATAGTTGTTGGCTACCATGTGGGTGTTGGGAATTGAACCTGGGTCTTCTGCAGAAGCAACCAGTGCTCTTAACCACCAAGCCATCTCTCTAGCCCTGCAATAATAGTTTTTTTAAATGTATGCTGAATTAAGAAAAAGAAAAATCACTGGGTGTAGTGGCACACACCTTTAATCCCAGCACTTGGGAGGCAAAGGCAGGCAGATCTTTGTGAGTTCAAGGAGGCCAACTTGGTCTACATAGCAAGTTCCAGGCCAGCTGGGGCTACAGGGAGACAAAAAAAAAAAGAAAAAAAAAGAAAAAAGGAAAAAAAAGAAGAGTGGGGCGTGGTGGCACATGCCTTTAATCCCAGCACTGGCCTCTAACTCACAGAGGTCCCCCTGCCTCTGCCTCCCAAGTGCTGGGATTAAAGGTGTACAGCAACATGCCTAGCTTCTGTAAGCTACTTTTAATAGTGTATTGTCTTCTAGTCACCTTTGAGCTTAACCACACAGTCCAAAGAGTCCAAAGCTGACTTTTGAACCCAATAAGATACTGTTGGATTTTCACCATTTTGCAATGTGAGGGTTATTCCCACCATAAGCATCACAGGGTTCTAAGGGAAGAGTCATGAATTATGCATAGTTCAAAGAAAAAGTGGCCGCTGAGACTTGTTCCCTTTTGAAAGGATGTGGCAATCACTTACTTCTCTTAAAACATGAGTAAGCCCACTTCATCCCAAAGACAGTTCTTTCTAGCAGTAGCAAAGTTATCACAGACATGTGATAGCTCCCATCTCATCTTCCCCTCCAATTCCCATTGTATCTGACCCACCAGCTTGGCCTGTGCTACCCTCTACCTACTTCTTTAAGTTCAGGTTCCAAGTGTAAAGTCACTGATCTTAAACAGTACATGCAAAAGCCGTGCTGTGTATGTTATGCCTTGAATTAGTGGCAAAATTGAATATTGAGAGAAAAGCTAAAACCTATTTTCTCAGGTTTGTCTTCAGCTTGAAATTAAATATAGATCATTGTAATTAGAACCCTCTTCCTTCTTTTCCTTCCTTCCTTCCTCCTTCCTTCCCTCCCTCCCTCCCTCCCTTCCTTCTTTCTTTTCTTTTCTTCTGGTGGTTCTAGGACCTAGGGTGTCATGCATTCTAGGCAATTTCCTCTACCACTGAGCTATGCCCTAAACCCCAGAACTCTAGTTAGGAGCATAATTCAGTGATAGAGTACTTGTATAACATGTACAGTGTTCTGGCTTCCATCCTCAGCACTGTAAATATACCTTGCTAGAGGAAGAATTAATTCAGGTTCTGGCAGCCCTTCTTAGAATGCGCTACCTCTTTGCCATTTCTGTCCTGTGATCTAAGACTTGTGTTCGAAATATTCCTTCCCTGTTCCTTTCTCTCCCAAAAGGTTCTGAATCAAACTGAGGATCACCGTCAAAGGGTTCTGCAAGCAGCTGCTAAGAATATCCGGGTCTGGTTCATCAAGGTGCGGAAGATGAAAGCTATCTACCACACCCTGAACCTGTGCAACATAGACGTGACCCAGAAGTGCCTGATTGCAGAGGTCTGGTGCCCTGTCACTGACCTCGACTCCATCCAGTTTGCACTTAGAAGAGGCACGGTGAGTCTCCAGTTAGCAATGAAGCTTGTGGCTGAGAAGAGAGCTTCCTAGTAATCAGTTCCATATTTATGGTGTTTTTACTTTGGGTTTTTTTTTTTTTTTTTTTTTTTTTTTTTTTTTTGGTCTTTTTGAGACAGGGTCTCTATGTAGACCAGGCTGGCCTTAAACTCACAGAGATCCACTTGCCTCTGCCTCCCGAGTGCTGGGATTAAAGGCATGCGACTTCAGAGTTTTTTTAAAACATATTCTTTTTGTATATTTTGTATATTGTTTAGGGTACTGGCCTTATTTTCCAGATGTGGAAGCTGTAGTTCAATGACATGAAATGATTTGGTTGTGCCCATGATGCCTCAGGGCAGACCATGAGGAGAACATCAGCTTCCTGACCCACTCTTGTTTGACTTCTGCTTGATAGTTAATTAGAGCAACTGCTTTCTCTAAAATGCTGATCTGAGGGCCAGGAGGGGTACAGAGATATACCAAATTTGTCTAAGTATCTTACATTTTGTTGAAAGAGGCTGAATACAGACATAGAAGACAGTCTGTGCTTAGTGGGATATGTGTGTTGGGGGAAAGTAGAGCTTTCCTAATTAATGTGACCAGAAAAAGCTTCAAGGAAAGGTGGCATTTGGTAGAACTAGGGTGTAGCTCAATATTAGGGGATTTACTTAGCATGTGCAAGGCCCTAGGTTCAGTCCCCAACACTGCAAACCAATAAGCAAACAGTAAAAAGGGGACATGTGATTAAGGACTTGAAGAATGGGAAGATGCTTCTCAGCAGTGATAAGAAGAAAACAGTGTGAGCAGGGTTGGAGAAGTAGGTTGGTCTCACCTAGCAGGAATGAAGCCCTGGTTTTCTCTCCAGCACTGCATAAGCTAAGTTTCATGATATAGTTTTATAATTCTAGCACTTGGGAGGTGACAGCAAGAGGATCAGGAGTTCAAGGTCATCTTCAGCTAGATACTGTGAGTTTGAGGCCAGCCTGGGCTTGTCTCAACAAACAAACAAACAAACAAACAAACAAACAAACCAAACAGTGTGGACAAAGACTGGAAGTAACAGCATAGTGGTACACGGTTAGGCAAATTCAAGAATTAAAATGGTTTAGTAAGATTAGCAGCTAAAGTTGCTTAGTGGTTAAGAGCAGGTACTGCTCTTGCAGACCCAAGGACCTGAACTCAGTTCCCAAGCACCCACATCAAGCAGCTCACAACTGCCTACAACTTCAGCTCCAGGAGCATCCAATTCCTCTGGCCTCCATGGGTACCTGCACTCATGTACACATACCCCCACACAGGTACACATGCATACATATAATTGAAAATAATAAAATAAAACCAAGCATGGTGACACATGCCTGTAATCCCAGCACTCAGGATCTCTGTGAGTTTGACACATAGCAAGTTCTAGGCCATCCAGGGCTGCACAGTAACACTTTGTTAAGCACTGCCTCAGATACATTGAAGCCTAGTTGTGATTGATTTTTTAAAGATGTGAGACAGTGAGTAAATTAGCTGTGAAGGAGTGTGATCCAAGCAGATCTGAAAGTGTAATCTGCTGATAGTGGTGATGAGTGCAGAGAATCTGAGTGTGTGGCCAGTCAGGAGGCTCCTGGGGACATGGAGTAGTCCTTGCTGAGGCCCTCAGGCAGAACTAGGCAAAAAAAGATGGACTGTGAGGCACTGTAAAGGAAAATATAACTAGGTATCTTCATTTTTCTAATAAGGTACAGAGGCAAGAATTAAAGATGTTTCTGAGGTACCAAAGCTGTGTGTGTGTCCCAGAGGATTAAGGCTCCATTCATGAAAGTTAGGGCTCAGCAGGTAGGGCCTCTAGATGGGAAGGATGACAAGTTCAACTGCAGTCACACTGAGGCCCTGGGCAGAATATCATGTGGAGATGTCAAGCAAACCTCAGGGCAGGGCAGAGCTAACAAGGTAAGTCTCAGTGAGACTGAGACCTCAGAGGAGATCTTGGAAAATAAGCAGACCCTCAGAGATCTGCAGCATTACTGGGTGGGCAGAAGAGAAAGAGCCAAGAGAGAAGGAGCAGTTAGCAAGCTGGAGGGCGCTCTGAAGGAATAGAGACTCTCCCTAAGAGAAAGCTCGTGTCTGCCTGCCTGTGAGAAAAGAGCCAGTCACTGCCTGAGCATGCTTAGCTGAACTGCAGGGGAATGAAGAAGGGGAGGAGGGGCAGAGTGTGCTTGATTTTCCTGAAAAATAGGGGAAAGAGTATCAGTACAGACAGGTGAATACGGAGGAGGTTCAACATTATTTATTTATTTATTTATTATTTATTTTGAGATGGAGTCTGGCTTTGTTCTCCAAGCTGGTCTTAAATCTCTTGAGTTTGGCCGGGCGTGGTGGCGCATGCCTTTAATGCCTTTAATCTTGGCACTCAGGAAGCAGAGGCAGGCAGATCTCTGTGAGTTTAAGGCCAGCCTGGTCTACATAGTGAGTTCCAGGCAGCTGGGGATACAGGGAGACCCTGTCTCAAAAAGACCAAAAAAAGACTTAATTGAAATTGTCCATTGTCAAGATTATATCTAGCCCTAGTTTTTCCAAAGACTGAGAAAGTTATGAAATGATCTTAATTTTTATTAGTTTAATTTAAATAGAACATATATAGAAGATATATGTTTTATGTGTGTAGTTTGATGAATTTTGATACAGCTATACACTTCCATGGCCCCACAAGGACAGCCTAATTCTGACATATGCTGGTGTTTCCCAGGAACACAGTGGTTCCACCGTCCCCTCCATTCTGAACAGGATGCAGACAAACCAGACTCCACCAACCTATAACAAAACCAACAAGTTCACATATGGCTTTCAGAACATAGTGGATGCATATGGAATTGGAACTTACCGAGAGATAAACCCAGGTAAAAAGTAATAAATCTTTCCTTCAGCAGCAGGTGTTCACAGCCTACAGGCTACACGGGTCCCAGGAGTTATCAGTGTAGTCCAACAAGAAACTGAAACGTGGTTAAAATGTTATGAGGGGGTGGTTTCTCCCCCCCCTTTTATTTATTTATTTATTTTTTGGACTTTTTGAGACAGGGTCTCCCTGTAGTCCCAACTGGCCTGGAACTCACTGTGTAGACCAGGCTGGCCTTGAACTCACAGAGATCCGCCTGCCTCTGCCTCCCGAGTGCTGGGATTAAAGGCGTGTGCCACCACGCCTGGCCTTTTTCCTGCATTTTTTTTCTAATTTTATTTATTATTTTTATTTTATATGTATGTGCGTATTGCCTACATGTAGGTAAGTGCACCTGTGTCGTGCAGTGCCCTCAGAAGACAGAAGAGGATGTTGGATGCCCTGGAACTGGAGTTACGGACAGTTGTTAGCTACTATGTGGGTGCTGGGATTCAAACCCGGGTCTTCTGCAAGAACAACCAGTGCTCTTAACCACTTCTCTTCAGATCCTATAAGCCTTTCACCTTTTCCTGCATTTTTAAAAACTCAGTTGTGGGGCTGGAGAGATGGCTCAGCAGTTAAGAGCAGTGGCTGCTCTTGCAGAGGACCCAGGTTCGATTCCCAGCACCCACATGGTGGCTATGAACCGTCCTTAACTCCAGTTCCAGGGGAATCTGCAGCCCTCTTCTGACTTCCATGGCATCGTATGACACGGGTGCACTCACACACATGCAGGCAATACACTCATACACATAAAATAAAAATAATAAATAAAATGTTAAAAAAACCCCTCAATTGTGTAGTTCTCCAGCAATTTTGTCACAATATCCAAAGGTCTAACATGTCTGCTACTAGAGGCTTTTCTTTAACCCTTTTAACATTTCACTCTTAAACTGTTGGAAAACTGCTTTGAAGATGTCCAGACTGCAGTTCATGTGTAAGTCCTGTGAAAATATGCCTGTTCAACATAAGCAGAACTATCACCATATAACCCTTCAATAAGAGCTCATTATTGGGGCTGGGCATGGTGGCACACACCTTTAGTCCCAACCCTCAGGAGGCAGAGGCAGTCAGATCTCTAGGAGATTGAGGCCAGCCTGATCTACATAGAGAGTTCCAGGCCAGCTGGGGCTACAGGGAGACCCTGTCTCAAACCAACCCCACCAAAAAAGCCTCGTTACTAGATTTTTGCATGTGGCGTCACCTGGCCTTCTCTAGCCATATGCTTGGAGGAGCTTCTTTAAGCAAAATGTCTTTTCAAGATGTCTTATATTTTAGAATGATTTCTTCCTAGCTTCCCTGTTTCCAAGGCTAGACATTAGATAGAGCACTATTAACTATTTTTCAACACAAGCTCAGTCTCTGTTGTGTTCAAAGAATTACTCATTTGGGAGTCTGGGCATTTGTTTCCAGCCTGGAGCCTTGGGCAGGACCTGCTTTGCTCTGGTTCTGAGCTTTCCCTGTTGCCTGGTAGCTTTACTCAGCTCAGAAATGGTTGCTGCACAGACAGGACAGCTGGCCTGTCCCAGGAGTAGAGCCCCAAAGTTTGGAAGAAGGACACAGAACAAACCAGTGTTACCAGGACTACTCCTTCGTTTCCTGAGGCCTTCTTAGTTTAGAATGGTAGCTGTCACACACATCCTATCCGCTGCTTTGTGAGGCTGTGTGGATCTTGCTATGATAGATTTTTTTCCCCGCGAGACCATTCATCTAGCCGCTGAGGAAAAAGCCACCGTATGTTGGCCTCAGAGTACTGGCAAGAATGGAGTATTTGGTGAATCATGCTTTGATGTTCTTTGTGGTTTTCTCTCTGGTTTCTTTATAGCTCCATATACCATCATCACTTTCCCTTTCCTGTTTGCTGTAATGTTTGGAGATTTTGGGCATGGCATTTTGATGACCCTTTTTGCCGTGTGGATGGTGTTAAGGGAGAGCCGGATCCTCTCCCAGAAGAACGAGAATGAGGTAATGTTTAAGTGACATCTGCACTGGACTAAAATTTTATAATTTCTCCGTCATTCATTATGAAAATAATAATCTAGATGTCCATGAATTAAAGATTTATTAGCTTAGAGGTTGTTTTTTTGTTTTATTTCCATAGCTGAGGACTGAACCCAGGGCCTTCACTCCCTAGACAGGTGTTCTACCAATGAGCTAAATCCTCAGCCCCATGAATTTATAAAAATAGAAAAGTTAAGTTTGTTTGAACATTGAAGAGGTCATGCACTATACAAGTGAATCTATCTTAAGCATTATTTTTATTTCATTGTGATACTGAGGATTGAAGCTATGACCTCATCCTGGTTAGGTAAGTGCTCTTCTGTGGAGCATCTTCCAAAGCTGTTTTAGCCTTATAGCTTGATCTTTAGTTCAAAGTCTAAACCAGAATGGGGTAAGCTACTGCAGGAGCTTGTATACTGTAAAGAATGTTGTCATGCAGCGGCTGCAAGCAGGACCCTCACCTCACTCTTTCTTCTGCTTCCCAGATGTTTAGCACTGTGTTCAGTGGTCGATACATCATCCTCCTGATGGGAGTCTTCTCCATCTACACTGGTCTCATCTACAATGACTGTTTTTCCAAGTCTCTTAATATCTTTGGGTCATCATGGAGTGTACGGCCAATGTTCACTTTAGGGAATTGGACGTAAGTTGCAGAAGCTAAAAGCCCAAGCTAATTCCTTTTATATTCAACTCTTATAGGATGGACAACAAACAACCCTTTAGGAAGTAGTTGAAGAAATCTGTTTTAGAAGGATCTCTTTTTAAAAATTATTTTGGTCTTTTTGAGACAGGGTCTCCCTGTAGCCCCAGCTGGCATGGGACTATGTAGACCAGGCTGGACTTGATCTCACAGAGATTCGCCTGCCTCTGCCTCCCAAGTGCTGGATTAAAGGCCATAACTACAGTTCCAGGGGATCTGACGCCCTTTTCTGACCTCCACAGGCATTGTACAACATGGGTGCATCTACATACATGCAGGCAATATACTCATACACATAAAAATAGAAAATAAAATATTAAAAAATAAAAATATTTGTTATTTTTATTTTTTATGTGTATGTATCTGTTGCCTACATGTATGTAAGTGCACCCATGTCATTGCAGTACCCACAGGTCAGGAGAGGATGTTGAATCCCCTGGAACTGGAGTTATGGATAATTATTAACTGCCATAAGGGTGCTGAGATTTGAACCTTTGCAAGAGTAGACAGTGCTCTTAACCACTGAGTCATCTCTCCAGCCCCCACCTTTTATATGTATATATATATATATATGTGTGTGTGTGTGTGTGTGTGTGTGTGTATGTACATGTGTGCATGTGTGTGTGTGTGTATAGGTCCAAGGTGTACATGTGTGCGTGTGTGTGTGTATGTGTGTGTGTATAGGTCCAAGGTTAACTTGGTGTCTTCCTTAATTGTTCTCCAGCTTACATATTGAGGTCTGTGGGGTCCCTTGCTAACCTTGGAGCTTGCCATTTCAGCTAGGCTAGGTAGCCAACCTGCTTGACTTTGCCCCCCTATGAAGACTGCTGCTACCTGGGTTCTGGGGGTGCAAACTCAATACCTGCTCAGCCAACCCACAATTCTTCCTTTTTTATTGAGAAGTCAGGATAGCATAGTCATTTCTTTTGTGATCAGTTTCTAGACCTTGTAGTTTCTCTTTCTCAATAAAAAAATAAATAAGACTTTTTTCTCCTAACACCATAGGGAAGAAACACTTCTGGGAAACCCTGTACTCCAGTTGAACCCAGCCATACCTGGAGTTTTTGGTGGACCATACCCATTTGGCATTGATCCAGTAAGAATACCTCTTTTCCTGTATGTTGCTGGCTCCCAGAGATTTTTGTTTGTTGTTGGCGCTAAGAATTGAATGTAAGGCCTTGTGCATGCTGGACAGGTGCTCTATGGCTTGAAATATATCCCAGGCCTCATTTTACTTGTTCGTTTGTTTGTTTCATTTTGAGACAAGTCTCATTGAGTTGCTTGGACTGGCTTTCAACTCACTCCGTAGCTCAATCGGGGCTTGAACTTTTGATCCTCTTGCCTCTGCCTCAAAGTTTTTAACTGTGATCCTGAAATGAGAGAATTAAGGTGAATATAATTAAAGGGCGTGGTGGCACACATCTTTAATTCCAGCATTCAGGAGGCAGAGGCAGGTGGATCTCTGTGAGTTCAAGGCCAGCCTGGTCTACATAGTAAGTTCCAGGACAGCTTTGGCTACAGGGAGCCCCTGTTGCAAAAAGATGAAAAGGAAAAAAAAAAAAAATTACTAAATTAATTTTGCCTTGAGATTAGGATTAGGATAAGAATTTCCACTAATTTCTGAAAAGAACCTAAACATACTTCTGCCATTTTGTTCTATGTATTTATGCAAAGCTGAATACTACCATTGATAAATATAAAGTCGAAGTATTGACAAAGCCTGAAAAATTTTAAAGATGTTTTACATTGTACAGGATCAAATATTCACCCAAGTTTAATTCTTTTGTTTTTTTGAGACAGGGTCTCACAAAGCCCAGGTTTGCCTTCAACTTAGTATGAAATAGAGTAGAGTCTTGAACTCCTGATCCTCATGCCTCTACCTCCTGAATGTTGGGATTATGTGATGTGCCACCATGCCCAGATTAAGATTTAATTATTTATTTACATTATAAGCATATTTGGGACTGGAGAAATGACTCAGCAGTTAAGAGCACTTACTACTCATCCACAGGACCCAAGTTCAGTTCCCAGCACCCATATCAGGTGGCTGGCAGTGCCTGTAACTCCAGTTCCAGGGGGATCTGATGCCTCTGGTCTCCTTGGGCACGAACATATACAGACACATAAGTAAAAATAATAAAAAGTGGACTGCATAGCAAGTTTCAGGCCAGCAGGGCTACATAGTGAGACCCTCTCTCAAAAACAAAGAAAGAGAAAGAGATTTATTTTCATTGTTTTTAGTTATGTGTGCATGTCTGTGTGTGAATTTGTGCATGTGAGTGCAGGTGTTCACAGAGGCCAGAGGTGTCAGACCCTGGTGGAGCTGGAGAGTTACAGGTAAGCCACCTGATATAGATACTGAGGATTGAATTTGTGTCCTCTGGAAGAACAGTGCGTGTTCTTAACCCCTGAACCATCTCTCTAGCCCCATAAACTTATTTTTTAAATATTCTATTTGTTATTTTTATTTTATGTGTCTGCATGTATTGCCTGCATATAGGCAAGTGCACCCGTGTCATGCAGTCCCGCAGAAGACAGAAGAGACTGTTGGATCCCCTGGAACTGGAGTTACGGACAGTTGTTAGCTGCCATGTGGGTGCTGGGATTCGAACCCAGGTCTTCTGCAAGAACAGCCAGTGTTCTTAACTGCTGAGCCATCTCTCCAGCCCCCCTCATAAACTTATTTTAAAACAATTTTTGGTATATATGCAATTTTATTTGTTAAAGATAGAAGCAAATTTACAGACTAATGAGATGAATGTGCTTATCTTTTAAAGATTTTACTTTTTATCTTATTTTCTAATTTTTTTATATATTTTTTGAGACACAGTCTCACTATGAGCCCTTGCCTGAAATTTGCTATATAGACCAGGATGTCCTGGAACTATATAGAGATCCGCCTGCCTCTGCCTCCCAAGTGCTGGGATTAAAGGCGTGCGCCACCAAGCTGTACTTAAAAGTAAATCTCTAAAACTAAAGATCAAAAAATAAACTTACGATTTATTTTCAGTAAATTTTTATTTGTATACCTATTTTATAAAGACAAAAGGGGTTTCAAGTGAAAAAAGTGTAGGAAGACTTGATTTAGGCTGTGTGACTTGATGTCTCCATGAAGGCAGAGAAAAGAATCTGGACAGTAGCAGGAGTTCTTGGGTGATAAGCGCTATGGCAGGTGATCTGTAACAGATCGGCACATGTGTCCCAGCACGGTGGCACACACCTATAATCCCTACACACTTGAGAGATGGAGCATTGTGAGTGTCAGGAGGTCCTGTCAGTGCGTAGCACTTGCTTAGCATGTACAAAGGCCTGGCACAAAATTAGAAAAAAGAAAAGAAAATCATGGTTGATACTTTAATGGTGTGATGAGCATAATGTAGTCATGGTTTCAAAAGAAGTCTTTACTTTTTAGAGATCCAAACTGAAATGTTTATAGATAAAACAATATACTGTCTCAGCTTTGCTTCTGAGTAATCAGAAGTGGGAGAGTCTGATGACACAAGATTGGCATGAGTCCATAAATTGACATATTGGTTGAAGCTGGCCAATGGGTACATTCAAGAGTTTGTTATACTGTTTTCTCTATTTGAATGTTTAGAATTTTCCTTGATAAAAAGTCCTTTTTAAAAAATAGATGGATACTCTTCTCATTTAAGAATTCTTTATGTAGTACCTTTTTTTTTTCTGGGGTTGTAACAGATTTGGAACATTGCTACCAATAAACTGACCTTCCTCAACTCCTTTAAGATGAAGATGTCTGTTATTCTTGGTATCATCCACATGTTGTTTGGAGTCAGCCTGAGCCTGTTCAACCATATGTGAGTTATTTTGTTCCTGTCATCATAAGACTACTTGTTCAGAGAATACTTCTACTTAAAGAAATCTTAATATCTCATTGCACGACATGGGTGCATTCACATACATGCAGGTAATACACTCATATACATAAAAAAATAAAAATAATAAATAAAATATTTTTTAAGAAAAGAGCACTGAGTGCTCTTGCAGAGGACCCGGGTCCGAGTCCCAGCACCCACATAGGCGGCTATGAATCATCCTTAACTCCAGCTCCAGGGGACTCCAAAGCCCTCTTCTGACCTCCGCGGCATTGCACGACACAGGTGCACTCACATACATGCAGGCAATACACTCATATATATAAAAAAATAAAAATAATAAATAAAATATTTTTGAAAAATAAATCTTAACGTCTTTGGAGATGAATCAGTAACCCAGTATTGTAAAAGCAATTTTCTACAAACCTCATGGTGTTATAATGAGGTTTTTTTTTTTTGTTTTTTTGTTTTTTTTAAATAAATCTTAACATCTTTGGAGATGAATCAGTAACCCAGTATTGTAAAAGCAATTTTCTATAAACCTCATGGTGTTATAATGAGGTTTGGAGGCGGGGGTTGTTTGGGGGTTTTTTTGGTTTTTTTTTTTTGTCTTTTTTGAGACAGGGTCTCCTTGTAGCCCCAGCTATCTTGGAACTCACTATGTAGACCAGGCTGGACTACAAAGATCCGCCTGCCTCTACCTCCCAAGTGCTGGGATTAAAGGTGTGCGCTACCACGCTTTTTTTTTTTTATTTTATGCGCATGAGCATGTTGCCTACATGTATGTGAGTGCACCCGTGTCGTGCAATGCCGCAGAGGTCAGAAGAGGGCTTCAGAGTCCCTTGGAACTGGAGTTAAAGATAGTTCGTAGCTGTTGGGCCTTCGGGACCCTCATATACACGGCATGGAGAAAAATGAGGCCTAATGTAACTTCCTGAGCCTGACTAAAGTTTAGTGACCTGTCTTTGGCCTGTCACTTCTGTGTGGAGGTGACTCAACAGTGCCCTATCTAAGATTGCCTCTGCCCAGTAACAACTGGCGTAATATATTCCCAGTGGCCCACAGTCTTCGCCCCAGATGACACATTCCTATACCCACCCCCTTTTCCACACCCCTTTTGCTTAAACTATATAAGTTGATGCCTGACACAATAAAGTGAGTTCCTGCCTCGACAAGACTCCCCCTAAGAGAGGGACCCAGGCTGGTCCTGGCCTCTCCCCCTGTGCCGTACCTGTTGGAGCGTCCAACAAGTAGCCACCATGTGGGTGCTGGGAATCGAACCTGGGCCCTCTGCAAGAGCGGTCAGTGCTCTTAACCACTGAACCATCTCTCCAGCCCCTATGAGATTTAATATTAGTTCCTTAACAGTTGTAAGTATAAAAAAGATCTTTGAGCCAGGTGTGGTGGCACACACTTGAATCCCAGCACTTAGGAGGCAGAGGCAGGCAGATCTCTGTGAGTTCAAGGCCAGCCTGGTCTACACAGTGAGTTCCAGAACAGCTGGGGCTACAGGGAAACCCTGTCTCAAAAAGACCAAAAAGAAAAAAAAAGAAAAGAAAAAAAGAAAGTAACACTACATAAATGAGTAATTCACAAAGTGGTAGAATTGCCTGCATGTAGGTAAGTGCACCCATGTTGTGCAATGCCTGCGGAGGACAGAAGAGGCTGTCAGATCACCTGGAACTGGAGTTACGGACAGTTGTTAGCTCCTAGAGCCGTTTGAGGCCCAAAAGTTTGGACGTTCAGTTTCTATTGTCTCCACAGTGAGGGGCACTGTATAGGAGCGATCTAGTGAGCATTCCATTTAATGAAGGAGCGCCCCTAGGCCTGTTCGCTCCTTAACGCTGTTTTTTCTTTTTCAGCTATTTCAAGAAGCCCCTGAATATCTACTTCGGCTTTATTCCTGAGATAATCTTCATGTCCTCCTTGTTTGGCTACCTGGTCATCCTTATTTTTTACAAGTGGACGGCCTATGATGTTCACACATCTAAGACAGCACCAAGCCTTTTGATCCACTTCATAAACATGTTCCTCTTTTCCTACCCAGAGTCTGGTGATGCAATGCTGTACTCTGGACAGGTATGTCAGCCCAGGGGAAGGTTGTTGTATGTGGCTACCCTAGATCACAAAGCCAAATGTAACTCTGACCCTAAGAAAGCCTAAAAACACTTTTCTGTATATGATATTTGGTTTTCAGACTATTCTTCACTCCATTCTCCTTGGTCTTCTTAGCTTGGGAAGGTTACTGTGATTTCTGTGTCTAGGAAGCATAGAATTTGCAGGGCTACATGTCACAGGCCTGTAATCCCAGCACTCAGAAAGCCAAGGCAGGAAGGGCCAGAGTTCCGGGCCAGAGTGAACTACATGGTGAGATCTTGTCTCAGACAAATAAATAAGTAAAAAGGGATGGAATTTAGAACTGTGATTTTACAGGGAAATTCTAGGGTTTGTCATAGTATTTGCTAGTTACTTTGACAAATCAAATAGTGTTTTCATAGACCTGTAAAAAAATTACTGTTTGGGGAAAATTTCCTCTGGAGTTGGAAACTGTGTATTTGACTAATGGACTTTTATACGATAACTTTGTCTTGCTTTGCAGAAAGGAATTCAGTGCTTCCTCATAGTAGTTGCACTACTGTGTGTTCCTTGGATGCTGCTGTTTAAGCCACTGGTCCTTCGCCATCAGTATTTGAGGAAGAAGCATTTGGTAAGCATATTGCTATTACTGAAAATTACTAGACTCTTTTTTTTTTTTAAGATCAAGGCAATTCCCTAGAGGATATAATTAATTGTGCACATATGCATGTAATCTTAAAATGCATTTGTGTTACATGTTACAGCATGAACCCTGGGCCGGCTGAAGTCAGGGAGATGCGTAGTTGTTGCTTAGACTCCTGAATTCCAGTTTTCAGCGGCTGGACTGGAGAGAATAAATCATGTTTTTACCTTTCCTTGTCATGGTTTACTTGTACTGTCCTCAGCAGAATCCAGGCCTGGGCCTGTCTCAGTGCAGCATCAGTCAAAACAAGGTTAGAAGAGCTGCAGACAGTGAACCCACTCATGTGGTTTGCCTGTGCAACCACAGGACTGATGCTGAGACATCATCTTTTAAAATGAGCCCAAACATGCATATATACCAGTGTTTACTTAATGTATGTGTGTATATCAATTCTACACACATACACACAGTTAAGCTTGCCAAATGTTCAGTATTGCGTGTAATTTCTGGCCATCCAATAATGCTTACTGCACTGCCTGGGAAAACCTAAAAGATCTTGTTGTTGCATGATTCCCATGGCTGTGAGACAATTCTTCCTGTTGGAGAGCAGCTGAGTTACGAGACCCTCCTTCTCCTTTTCTGACCATCTCCATCCTTCCGTGTACCCTCCATTCATCTCTCCCTTCCCTTCCCCCCTCTTTTGTTTTCTTCTCCCTTCTTTTCTTCCATTCACTATCAGGAAGGGCAACCTGTGGAGGCCCCAGTCAGCCCAACCCCGAGCCAACAGGGACTAGAGGCAGCAGCGGCTGCAACAGTGAGTCAATTAACTCCACAAACCAAACATCTGTTTAAAGAGGTGGCAAACAGTGCAGCAGAATTCTTTTTTAATACCATTGGGAGTGTGGGATGTGTGTGTTTTGTTACTCACTGAGATGATGATGGAAGAGCTTTCCACCTCTTGAGACTAGATTCTGGTATCATCTTTACCATTGGTCTACTAAGTTTCTATTCAGATATGTAAGCATAGTCCTACCCATGGAGCAGAGTGGCTATTGTGCCCCCTCTCTGAGTCCCAGTGTCTTATTCTAAGATGTTGCTCTTGGACTCATCCACTTTTGTGTCTGTATTTTGTGACCATGTATGGGGTGATTTTTTAGCACCAAGACAAGAATATCTCTGATTTTTTAAAATTGATTCTCTGTATTTAGAGTTCTACTTCAAAGTGATGCATGGACCTCTGTTCTTCTTAGCAGTGAGTCACCTTCTTTAGAGAGTCTATACCTGTTTCCTTTGTTGTGATTCAGAAGCCCTCATGTGCTCAGCTGTTTCATTGAGCCGTCCCCTTACATGTGTCTTATGCATACTGTATATCCGGTGTAATAACCAGAGTCATCTGTCTTTTTCTTCCTCCTCCCTCCTCCTCCTCCCCCTCCTCCCTCTGAGACAGTCTCCTTGTAGCCCCAGCTGGCCTGGAACTTGCTAAATAGTTGTAGACCAGACTGGCCTTGATTTCTTTTGTTTGTTTTTGTTTTTCTTTTCTCCCCCCTCCTCCTCCCCCTCCCCCTCCTCCTTCTTTTTTGAGACAAGGTGGCTTGCTATATAGACCATCCAGGCTGGCCTTGATCTCAGTGATTCACCTGCCTCAGCCTCCCAAGTGCTAGGATCAAAGGTGTGCACTACCACACCCAGCTCAGAGTCATCTGTCTTGATCTTCCTCCTCTGATACTAACTTATGATGCAGTAACGGCAGTTTGAATGTTAGGCATTCGAACATTTGTCCTCAAAAGCCAACTTCTAACCAGAATCTTATAATGCACTAATATCACTTAGTCTGGTGTATAGTTAGTCTAGCGTATTCTAGACTTTTAAAATCTCACTAGTATTTATTCATGTACTACTGTTAGTATATAATCCTTTATAGACAAGGCAGTGTTTGCGTGGATAACTATTTCTACAGTAGGTGTTCTGATCATTTTAAACTTTTAAAATTGCTTAGCTGTCCTTTTAGGACTAGTCTAAAGGGGCTGATATCTTGGACCAGAAGAAACTTTAATCTTGCCACTTGAACTTACTTCCCTTCCCTATGAGAAATAAAGTACATACTACCGATTATGGGTTTTTCTGTTCATGCAGTTTTCTTTTTGCTAGTCTCAGCACTATAAGGTGCATCTGAGAAGTCTTGATTCTTTTAAATCTGGTACCATCTTCTATGATAAGCCTCAAGTTAAAATGCCCAGTCTGGAAACTTTCACTTTGATGGGATCTTCTTATTCTGCTGGTTCTGTCACTGGATCTCTGTTCTGGATAGCAGCCCATCAGCGTGAGGGTGACCCCCCTACAAGAAGGTCCCTAGACCCTTGACCTCCAAGGGCTGATGATATGAACACAAATATGGTTTGTTCCATTTTTTTGTCTTCTCGGCTGTCTGAAAGTGGCGTGTCACAGTTTGAGCTTTCCTTCTGTTTGCTGATGTGTGTCTCTTATCCCCTTCCAGTAACTCCCATTCCCTGTGCTCTGTAGGATACGCATTAGAACCTGGCTGGGAGAACCTGTCTGCTCTCTATTCATCTGCTGATTGGGGAAACCTTCAGAAATGGAACTTTGAATTCTGAAGCTTCCGTTCTCTACCCTGTATAACCCAAGCCAGAATGCACTGGAGTCTCCTTCTGTGCCCTTTGTAATACTTAAGAGTCTTCCCTTTGAAAGTAGTCAGGCATGAATTGTACCTGACCTGGAAGTGCCTAGGCCTTAGTGGTTCTCAAATCTGACTGTACATTAGAATCACCTTGTAAACTTTGAATTTGGGATTAAAACAGATAATTGGAAGGAAAAAATAAAATAATTCCATGACCCAGGCAGTCCCCTGCCGATTTTAAAAATAAATAAAAAAAGTAAAATAGGTACCCTTAACTGGAGAATGCCTACTAACCAAGAAGAATCCTCAGTCCCCTCCACTCTTCTCTTCCAAGGCATTGTTAACTGGTAGGGGCTTTGCCTCTAACATGTTTCTGTCATCTATAGATACATGTGTAGGTTTGTGTGTGTATATAGAAGGGGAGAGACATTAAGAACTATATTTTAACTGAAGCACTCTTCTGTCTCTAAGTGTATCTTAGAGGTTGTTTCATAGTGATTGATAGTTAACCTTTTTATGGTACCTAGCTTTCCGTAGAATATTCCATTGGATATGCCGAAATTATGTAATCACTGTTGATGGATGTGTTGCTTGTTCCAGCTCTTTGCTATCATACATAATGATACAGGAAATATCTTTATCCGTACATGGCTTACTACGTTTTAAAGATATAGATATCCCAGCAGTGGGACTATTGAATATCGAGGGTGCAATGTGCTCTACATGTTGATGTACCCTTCACAATGATTATACCATTTTTCAATAACAATTTCCCATGCCCCAGACCTACTAAATTTATAACTTCTGGGGTTAGTATTTGAGAATCTATTCAAAATGCACTTTCAAAGTGATTCTGATGTGGCTGGGTCTGTGACCAGCCTTGTAGGATCACTATTACAAGGAAGAGGGGAAATCAGACCTGAATGCTGGGATCTGAGCTCATCAGTGAGCTATAGTTAGAGAGGTACTACTGGGTGAAACTGAGGAGGGAGACCACAGGAAAGTCGGTCTCCCTGCTTGCATACTGTCCACACTGCTACTAGAAGGCATGTTGCAGGTGAGCAGCTCTTAACTGGACAGACACCATAGGAAGTGGTGCTAAGGGGCTGCTTCCTAAGTTCCTTTTCACTCTGACACAGGTTGGCACTAATTGACATCTGTCAGACCCAGCCCAGGGAGTCCTTTTACCACAGTAAACTCACAAATCAAATTGACTTTAAAATTCAGTTTGCAGATGTCTGCTAAAGACTGTTTCTGTGAAAACAAGAGTAAATACCCAGGCAGCACCTGCCCACATACCTATAGAGTTGTGTTAACACTCCAGAACCCTTTGATGGAAAGGGCCTCTTTGATGTCGTTTACATTTTTTAAACTCAGTATTCTTTAGCCACAAATGAGTGCCTGCTAGTGTTTTGTTTTGTTGTGATGTCCTTCCTTGACCTAGGGAATCCTTTGTTCCTAGACAGAGACCTGGGACATTTCTGGTAGAAGTTGCTGGAACTCTTGGACTCCTGTTGAAAGTTTATCAGACCAGGGCACGTTCACCATGTCATTTAGCCCCTGTCCCTCTGAGAAAGTCTAATCTTCCACTCCAGCAAAGCTTGGGGCTTGCAGACTTTACAGTTTTATCTACACTCGTTAGGAGAGTGTTTATTCAGCCTCTCCTTCAGGCAGGATTCTCAGTTAGCATTGACCAAGGCAAGGTTGATGCATCTTGGTGTGGCCAGATGAGGTGGTAAATGCAGGTTGCCACTGGTGGGAGCCAGGGCAGTGGATGTTGGGGTGGGACAATTGTTCATTTTTACTTGGCTTGTTCAATCAGTACATTTTGCTTTTGTTGTTAGGATGTATGCCTTTCTGAGGATTGTATGTACTAACCATCACCCTTCCCCACCTCACAGAGTGCCACATTAAAGCCCAGGCAAATACTACTCTTTCTGTTCATCTGTGTAGGGAACTCTCAACTTTGGTGGGATCAGGGTGGGCAACGGACCGACAGAGGAGGATGCTGAGATTATTCAGCATGACCAGCTCTCCACCCATTCAGAGGACGCGGAAGAGGTAAGATCCAGTGGTGTGGGCTTCCTCTCGTTCCACCACAGGCAGCCCTAGTCTTGATTCCTACTAGGCTTACTCCAGCCTTCTTGCAAAATAAAAGTACTAATGATTGGCCTCCCTCTGGCCGGCTTAAGGTCCCGAAGCTTTTTCTGTGGAGCCTGCTCTATCTAAACTCCAGGAGCTGGCCGCAGCCCTGCTCCTCTTGAATTCCGAGGTGTCCACAGTGCACTGTGTGTGACCTCAGTTACTAACTGCTCTCCTCAGCCCAGGCAGCTCCCAACATCCCAGCTCTTGTCCCCAGGAATACAGAGCACCTGGCTAGCTTCTTCATCCTTTAATCCTTCCAGGAATCAGTTGTCCTAGTCACACTGCCTACCAGCTGTGCTCATGGATATTTTTTTTTTTTTTTTTTTTTTTTGGGGGTTTTTAAAATTTTTTTTTTCCTTTTTTTTTTTTTTTTTTGCTTGCTTTGTTTCTTGAAACAGTGTCTCACTATGTAGCTTGGACAAGCCTGGAACTAGCTATGTGGATCTTCCTGCCTCTGCCTCCCAAGTGCTGGGATTATAGATGTATGCCACCATGCCCAGCTCTGGATATTAATCTTCTGTCAGATGTATAACTGGTGATTTTCTCCCACTCTGTTGGCTTCCTTTTCACTCAATTCTTTCCTTTGTTCTAAAGAAGTTTTTTTTTTTAGGAGCTTTTTAAAATTGTTATTTGCCTTCTTTTTATAGGGAGAATGGAAAGGAATTAGGCTAGCCTTTCCTTTTGACTCTACTTCCAATTTTAGTTATTTAAAATTAACTCTCTTGCCTGAGCACTCATGGCACAAAGCCTCCAAACTGAACTATTAAAATCTCATCTATTCATTGTATTATTATTTAAAGCAAATAGATTAGAAATGAAGGACCCAGATTAGATTTTTCATTCTAGACGCTTTAACCATGGCTTTTTTTAATTGCAAGTGTTGGGGTGCCTTTGAAAAAGTATGTTTCTTAATTCTCTGATTTCCCTTTACATGTATGCTAAGGACACTTGCCTATAATATGTTATTCCCATTTATCATTAGCCGTCTTCCCAAGAAGCAGTTCAGTAATACATGCTCATAGCTTGTGACCTTGTGTGTGGCATAGCTTCCCATTAAGTGTAAATTTGTGTTTTCAAGCCTACCGAGGACGAAGTGGTAAGACCAAAGCCTTCATGTTTCTCTGGGCTTCTCTTTTCCCATCCTTGTGATAACTCTGCCAACCCTGCTGCACCCTGGAGCCACACACATGACGCCGTGCATCCTGCATCTCACTGGCCATTTCTAACCAGTCTGTGAGCCTGTGTTCTGAAAAGCTCATCTCCATTAACTGCATCTCATGTTGGTCACCTCTGTCTTTGTGTCATTGACTTTGCTGATCTAATACCTCTGAAATTGGCTTTGAAGAAGCTGCAAGTAATGTCCCTGCTGGCATTCTTGAAGTGACTGTCCTCAGGGTTAAGTCCATGGGCCTCCACCTTCCTCTCCTGTGATGTTGTGCTTGCTCTGCCACCGGGGGTAGTGGTCTCCACCCTGCTCCTGAGTGCTTGTGAGCGAAGCTTACCCTTCCTCCCTGTCTGAGATGCAGCCAGCCTCTTCTGCTACCCTCATCAGCTTGGTGGTACTTAAACTTAAGGCCACAAGACTCTTGCTTGGGGTTAGCTCTAGCTCCATGTGACCTAGTTGAGAAATAATCAGCTTTCAAATGCCTCTCAGATGTGTGGGGGCGGGGGACACCTGCATGAAAGGCATTCATACATTAGGTACACATAAAGAATAACGAAGTGGAAAGAAAGTTAAATATCCAGGCCATGTGCGGAGGACCAGGCCTTCTAGATTAGCAGTAGTTTATTTAGTAGCACACAGGTTTTGAAACAGGTTTTTAAAAGGCCTTGCTGCACTGTTTGCATCTTTCCCCCAAATTTCTCTCTAATATACCTGTATCTGTGAACCGTCCCCTCCCTCTCCTGAGCTCTCTAAGGGGCCATGCATGGCAGTGGGAAAACATTTGCTGTGCTGTGTAAAAACAGGCAGTGTTTGGTCTCCCTGAAGTCTGGAGAGGCTTTGCTGGCATCAGCAATGCCCTTTTCCTGGACCAGTCATCCGTGCATGGTTGCTGGCTGAACTGCCTGGCATGGCTTTGGGGGGGGAGCTCAGATTCATGTTGGTGAGAAGCTGACCCTCTCCCAGTACCATCACTTCAGCAATACTGCTTTCCACATAAGCACCCTGTGCCTTAGCCATTGTCAGAATGGTCTGGCCGACATCCAGTGCCAATGGCCTCATTTGTAGCCATGTCCCTGGGAGTTGGACTACCAACTGTAGTTTAGTTTCTCTCCCCCTGGCCACCTAGTACACTCAGGGAATTAGCTTTTCTTGTCTTCCTTGAAGTCATACATTTTACCTTTATCAAGCATGGTTTCCCACAGCCAACTTTAGATGATTTTGACATTTATGTAATGATTCCAAACAAAACAAGGTTCTTAAAAAGAAGTCTAGCCTACTTCTGCAATTCCCCACTTTGCTTGGATGTAAAAACTTGTTTGTTCTAGGCAGGCGGTTGTGCCCTCTTCTGGGAGGCACTCAGTTTGGGTACAAACCAGAGCCAGGCCACTTGGTATTTGGGAAATCTCCAAAGACTGTGACCATTCAACAGGGGTCAGAAACTCCTCTCCCCACTGTGTCTTCTCACCTGGTACAGTCATCACCTCTCCACACACTCACTCATCCATCTATGCATTCACTTGCCCTCGCTGTGTCAACCACTATGTTTAATGCCATAGAAACTGGGAGAAGAAAAACAGTTCTTGCCTTTAGGGATCTTCCAAAGTAGGCGACAGTATGGTAACAGTTCTATGATAGATGTGTGCCCAGGATGCTGTGAGGAAAGGAAAAAGGCACCTGACAGGTACTAGGGTGCTTGGAAAGAAGAGACCAAGAAAGGATCCCCTTAGGTACCTCCTCCCAAGCTATGTCTGACTAAGCAGGAATCTCTTGAGGCAGGAAGAGAGGAAGGAGAACAACATCTATAGCTTAACCACTAGTGGTAGAGTTGTAGAATGCACTGGGTGGGGAGGGTGAGCTGGAGACTTGGACTCAGAAAAGGACTAGGTGACTTAAAGTGAAGTAAGTCACTTATAGGGGGCGTTGGAAAAGAAGGGGCCAATGTGGGATATTGAAGAAGTAAAGCTAAGGTCCTAGGGCTTTCATGAATGGGACATGAAGCAGAAGTCTTAGTGGGGACAGAGGACAGTGGTTTCTGAGTTTCATTCAGTGATAATGAGTCTGGAAGCCTGTGGTGCACCAGGAGATACATAGCACAGCTAATTGAGAGTCGGAACACAGAGAGGGAGGTTCCATTCGAGAGTTACCCCTGGGGGTGCCCAATGAGGCTATGAGTGTCATTCCGACAGAACAGACCTAAGTGGGGGCTACAGAGATGGCTCAATGGTTAAGAGCATGTACCGCTCTTGTAGAACACCCAAGTTCTGTTCCCAGCTCCCACAGCAGGTGCTCTAGCACCAGGGGATCTGATACCCTCCTCTGGCCTCTACAGGTACTGCACTCATGTACACACACACACACACACACACAAATAAATAAAAAAGAAATCTTGAAAAGACCCGGGGCTGGAGAGATGGCTCAGCGGTTAAGAGCACTGGCTGCTCTTGCAGAGGGCCCAGGTTCAATTTCCAGCACGCACATGGTGGCTAACAACTGTCTTTAACTCCAGTTCCAGGGCATCCTCTTCTTTCTCTGGCATTGCAGAACATGGGTGCACCCACCTGTATGCAGGCATTACACTCATACACATAAAATAAAAATAATTTTTTTCATATTTTATTTATTATTTTTATTTTATGTGTATGAATGTATTGCCCGCATGTATGTAAGTGCACCTGTGTCATGCCATGCCCACGGAGGACAGAAGAGGCCGTCGGATCCCCTGGAACTGGAGTTAAAGACGGACAGTTGTTAGCTGTCATGTGGGTGCTGGGATTCAAGCCCTGGTCTTCTGCAAGAACAACCAGCATTCTTAACTGCTGAGCCATCTCTCCAGTCCAATAATTTTTTTTTTTAAAAAAAGAAAGAAAAGATCCAGGGGATGAAGCTGTAACCCTAGGGACTCTTGGAAGAACAGTGATGGAGGAAGTCACAGAAGTGGGAGAGAGACTAAGAAGAGATCAGCATCTGGAGGAGGAAGAGGCCGTAGTGATAGACACCACAAAGTATAGTCAGGGCACGGAGCGTCTCAGAGTTTTAACCATTGGGAAGGGAAGCAACCATCTTGCTAAGAAAAGTCACCCTGGAGCAGGAACAAAAAGGTTGGAAAGTACTAGGCTAGATTTCCCCTTCATCCTCATCTTCCCTGAGAAAACATTCCCAGGTTCCAAAGCCGAAGATGAGAATGAAGAAGAGAGGCAGGGGTATTACTAGACGTGAACGTTGTCTCCTTTCCATCCTCCCCCTTTTTTGGGGGGTGGGGACACTGAGACAGGGTCTCCTGTAGCCCAAGCTGACTAGAACTCACTATGTAGACCAAGGACGGCCTTGTGCTCCTTCCGCTTCTACCTTCCAAGTGCTGGGATCATAGGCAAGAGCTGGGGCCACAAGCCAGTGCTGGATTACAGGTGCACACAGCCATACCTGGCTCTTTTTTTTTTTTAATTTTTTGGTGTTTTTGAGACGGTCTCCCTATAGTGGGGGCTGCCCTGGAGCTCACTGTGTAGACCAGGCTAGCCTTGAACTCACAGAGATCCACGTGCCTCTGCCTCCCAAGAGCTGGGACTACAGGCTTGCACCACCATGCCCAGCCTCTTTTTCTTTTTTAATGAGAGAAAATTTGGTTGAATGAAAACACTAGGAGGCACCCTGCTTTCACTGAGCTTAGGAATAAAGACCTGGGCTCCCTGGAGCTCTGGACTTCCTTTCCAATTAACTTATGCAGCAGCAATGGGAAAGAGCTCTTTAAACATTGCTGGGGTTGAGGTAACTCAGAGTAGCAAGGATTACTCTAGTTTTCAGAGTCAAAGTGATCCTGACTGGGCTCTGGGAACAGTTTCAGAAAGAAAACCACCGCCTGGTCTTTAGTGGGCTTTTGATTTCTCCACCTGGGCCTGGAACATACCAAGTTCAGAAATATGCATTCCCCTTGGTTGTCCTTGGAGCAGTCCTAAAAGTAGACTCCCAAGAGCTTGTTCCAGACCCCCAACCCCAGTCCCTTTTTTAATACTGCACTAGGAGTTGAATCCAGGGTCTTCAACATGTTAGATAAGTGTACAGCCGAGCCACATCCCTGGCTCCCAGCCCACCTGTTGTTTTACTTTGTTTTTTTGGTACACCATCTCCCTGTAGCCCCAGCTGGAACTCACTATATAGACCAGGCTAGCCTCAGGCTCAGAGATCTGCCTGCCTCTGGGACTAAAGTCATGTGCTGCCATGCCCAGGGTTTTTTGGAGACAGTGTCTCACTATGTTGCTTAGGTTGGCCTTAAATTCCTGATTCTCCTACCTCAGCCTTCTCAGTTCTGAGATTACAAGTGTGAGCCACCATGCTCAAAACTATCTGTAACTCCAGTTCCAGAGGATCTACTGTCCTCTTCCACCCTCCATGGGCACCAGGTATGTACATAGTACATATACATACATGCAGGCAAATATTCATACACATAAAATAAAAATAAATAAGTCTTTAAAAAAATCCGCCAGGCGTTGTGGCGTATGCCTTTAATCCCAGAACTCGGGAGGCAGAGGCAAGTGGATCTCTGTGAGTTCAAAGCCAGTCTGATCTACATAGTGAGTTCCAGGTTATATGGGGCTATGGAAGACCCTGCCTCAAAAAGACCCAAAAACAAGCTGGGAGTGGTGGCGCGCACACCTTTAATGCCAGCATTCAGGAGGCAGAGGCAGGCGGACCTCTGTGAGTTCAAGGCCAGCCTGGTCTACATAGTTCCAGGACAGCTGGGGCTACAGGGAGACACTGTCTTAAAAAGACCAAAAAAAAAAAAGACCCCCTCCCCCAAAAATTCCTTTAATCCCAAAACTCAGGAGGCATAGGCAGGCAGATCTCTGAGTTCAAGGCTAACCTAGTTTACATAGAGAGTTCCAGACCATCCAAGGCAGCACAGTGAGACTCTGTCTCAATCCATCAATGATCTATAATGCCTGGTGTGATAATGCACAGCACAATGTGCACAAGAGAGACTAAGGCAGTAGAATTTCAAGTTCAAGATCTGCCTGAAATTACATAGTGAGACTGTCTCGAAGAAAAAGTGATATGATGCAGTAAGGGGGGTTGAGAGGACTCAGTTGGAAGCCAGACAAGGAAGGGTTTCTGGGAAAGGCATTGCCGCAATCAGGTGACCTGACATCAACACCAGTTACCCCAGACCCTCTACAGGTGAGATGTCAGCTATGAGCAATGGCCCCTGCCCTGGCCTTGCTCAAGGGGTGACTCCGAACCCTGCACACTCTCCTCTTAGCCTCATTTCTCCTGTGGTTTCCTCCCATGACAGTTTGACTTTGCAGACACCATGGTCCACCAGGCAATCCACACCATCGAGTACTGCCTCGGTTGCATCTCCAATACCGCCTCCTACCTGCGGCTCTGGGCCCTCAGCCTTGCTCATGCACGTAAGTACGTTCTCTAATCCAGAGCTGAGGATCTCTCCTTCTCTGGGACCTCCCTTAGATGAGTAGGGGCTTCCCCAGAATGGAAACACATCAAGGTTCTGGAACTAGTCTAGCTCCTGAATCCAGGAATGAGTGCGCACAGGAGTATCAGCCCTTATACAAGTTAGCTGTGCATGGTAATCCTGCAGGAATCCAGGGTCCATGCAGGGAGGAGTGGCAGAGAAAAACACAGCCACCTCTTGACAAACTAAACTGTGCCTTGTGTCCTTCCTGCCCCCAGAGCTCTCTGAAGTGCTTTGGACCATGGTGATCCACATTGGATTGAATGTGAGGAGCTTGGCAGGGGGGTTGGCACTGTTCTTCATCTTCACTGCCTTTGCTACCTTGACTGTGGCCATCCTGCTGATCATGGAGGGCCTTTCAGCCTTCCTCCATGCACTGCGGTTACACTGGTGAGAGGCAGTGGGTCAGGGTGGAGCGGGAGGTGGGGGTGTCCTTGGCCACAGAGAATGGTCAGGTCTCCTGCATGGCACTAGGAGTCTGTCCTCTAGGAAGGGGGGCCGGCATTCTCCAGCCCTCACAGCTTTGGCACTGAGCCTTGAAAAAAAAAAATCATAAGTTCCAGGAACGGTTCCTACTCCCTACTTTCAGCATTTAGCCACCTTCATTGCTTTTGACTGTAAAGTTGCTGGGGTTGGGGATGAGAACAAGTCTTGTTTTGTCTTTCAGTTTTTTTGGGAGATTTTGGGTTTTTTGGGGTTTTTTTTGTTTTTTGACACAGGGTCTCACTATAGCCTAAGCTGGCCTTGAACTCTAATTCTTCTGCTTCAGCCTCTCAAGTGTCAGTATTATAGGCATCCCCACCACACCCAGCTAAGGACTTTGTGTTTTGGGTGTGAGGGTTTGTTTTTGTTGTCCTGGCATGCGACTCCTATCTTTAGAGCAGTACTGGAATAGATTGGGTCTCCTATCTTTAGAGCAGTACTGGAATAGATTAGGTCCAGGACCTGGCTAACACACACTGAACCCTGCCTCTGGCTCTTTATGACAGTGCCAGTGTCGCTTGGTAGAACGCCTGGGAGCTCCACTGTGGCTGAGCTCCAAGAGCTCCACTCTTGGCTCTGGCATGGCTAGGGACACTAAAGCAGCATTTCAGAAGGCGGCATGGGGGCGCGTGGTGTGGTGTTTGTTCTCCCTAATGCACTGGGTGGCTCATAGTTACTCTATATGCAGAAAGAGCCCAGGAATGGGAGAGCTAGCAGCAGGGCTGTGGCTGTGACCTTAAAGGAGGGTTGCCAGATTTAGCAAATAAAAATACAAGATAAGGGGCTGGAGAGATGGCTCAGTGGTTAAGAACACTTGTTGTTCTTGCAGAAGACTGGGGTTCAAATCCCAGCTGGCAGCTAACAACTGTTCGTAACTCTAGTTCCAGGGGATCCAACAGCCTCTTCTGTCTTCCTTGGGCATTGCATGACATGGGTGCACTTATCTACATGCAGGCATAACACTCATACACATAAAAAATAAAAATAATAAAGTATTAAAAAAAGAAAAAAAAAAAAAAAGCAAGGCCAGTGGCATGGCTCAGTGGGTTAAGACACTTGTTGCTAGGCCTAATGGCCTGAGTTTAATCCCATGGACTCATATAGTAGAAAAAATCCAACTCCCTCAAATTATCCTCTGATCTCCACATCTGCATTGTACCAGACTTGTGTACACACACAAAATCAATAAATAGCTGGGCATGGTGGCACATGCCTGTAGCCCCACCACTCAAGGAGGAAGAGGCAGGCAGATCTCTGTGAGTTCAAGACCAGCCTGGTCTACATAGTTCCAGGCCATCTGGGGCTACAGGGAGACCCTGTTTCAAAAAGACCAAAGGAAAAAAAAAAAATCAATAAGTGTAACTAAAAAATTTTGAAATACAAAATACTCAGTTAAGTTTGAATTTCAGATAAACAGTACTTTTTTGTATGAATATTTCTCAAATGTTCAGGAAACATACTCATATTAAAAATGGGAAACCTGGGGCTGGAGAGATGGCTCAGCGGTTAAGAGCACTGACTGCTCTTGCAGAGGACCCAGGTTCGATTCCCAGCACCCACATGGCAGCTACGAACCGTCCTTAACTCCAGTTCTGGGGGAATCCGAAGCTCTCTTCTTAACTCCGCAGCGTCACATGACATGGGTGCACTCACATACATGCAGGCAATACACTCATACACATAAAATTAAAATAATAAATAAAATATTAAACAAAAAAAAGCGGGAAACTTGTATTTCATCTGGCAAACTCCAGCTCTTCCCCTGGGGGTTCCATTTAGTCCTTTATGTCATGATTCTTCTTCAGGGAACTCTATACCCTGTCCCACCCCACATACTGTACTACACCCATAAACTCACTGACCCAACTCAGAAACCCCTGGATGAGGTGATCTGCAGTGTTAGTGATCCTGGGCTCCAGGAGCTCTTTGCACGGCTCCCTGGATTCTCTGGCATCTGGCTGGACCTCTAGTCCACTCCTATGGTCTTTGATTTCTCTTCTGGCTGGATTACAGCCAGGCTTCTTCACAGATTCTGTTGGTGGCAGTGCCAAGTTATGGAGGAAAAGTGAGGCATGTTAAGGGTGTGCCAGGGCTGAGACTAGTTTTCCCTCTGAGCTGCTCTAGAAGGCCCTTCCTGCATCAGGAGAAGCTGCTTTCTCTGCCCTGGCTTTCCCCCTCTGGGCTCCTCTCCTCTGCACTCAGCAGTTTGTTTACTGTGGAGCCTGGGAGGTTGGACTGCTACATTTTTCAGGGTGCTGGCTCCGCACTCTGTTCTCAGCTTATCAGCCAGCTCTCCCCAGCACACTTCCTCAGCCACTGCGGGTGAAGGAACGTCTGCGCACCAGACCCCTAGTGACTCACTTTTTCTTGCTCTCTTGGCCTCCTTGCTTTCCTGTTCATGTCTCTGTCTCCGGAGCCTGGGCTTGAGGGAACAGTGACTACCCCTCCTTGATTCCAGCCTGTGTTAAAGGCTGGTTACCCCCAATTCTGGGCAAGGTGAGGAGGAGTGAAGGGTAGAACAGAGCCGTCAGGTAGTTTAGCAAGGTGAGCACCATGTCATGAGGGAGGCTGCCTGTGCTTGGGTCTCACCTCCAGAGGCAGCTGAGGCAGGTTTGAATGTATGACACATATTGTTGCCAGATGTTTCTTTATCCTCAGCCTCCCCTGTGGCCTTCAAGTAACAGTGTATTCTTCCGTCCTCCTGAAGGAGGTGAGCAGAGCATGTGATGAGTGATGGGAGAGCAGACATCTGGGACAAGCTTGCCTGGGTTTGAATCCCAGCACTACCTCACAGGCAGATTATTATTGACCTCTCTGAACCTGCCTTTGTCTCATGTGGACAGAAAGACAACAGCCACATGGCAAGGTTACTGAGTTAGAAGCAAATAGGGAGTAATGCACATACCAAGTGTCTGTCACCGGGCCTGACATCATAAACAGATCATGGCTACTCTGATGAAGAGTGGGGTGCCCTATAGAAAGGGACCTGGCTCCATAAAGAAACTGTTTTTAAGTTAGTTAGAGAGCAGGGGGACCCCAAAGGAGACACATACTTTGGTTTGAATGCCCCTCAGGTATAGCTTGCAAGGAACAGACTTGAAATAGGTCTTCCTTTTGGTTGTCTGTCTGGTAGTGCAAGTATTGGGCAGAAGAGGAGAAACAGAGGAAGCCTTTCAGAATCCTGGCTTTGGAGGCAGCTCCCAACCACTAAAAGTAAACTAAATTGGTGCTTGTGCGCCTCCTGCTGGTCAAATGGAAATGTGCAACAAGGACTGCAAGGGGCTCAGAGTTGTGGCCCTCAGGTAAACAGCTGGCCTTTGCGAAATGGCCCAGGAATATTGCTGCTGGGTTTCATACTAGCAAGCCCAGGCATCTTCACACACCCCTTCATCCCTCATGTCTCTCTGATATACAAGTTCTGAGTTTCTTTGGTAGCATCAAGAAGAAAAAACATTTAATTGATTTTTATTTGGTTTGATTTAATAACATAAATCACGAGTCTAAGATTCATGAAAGCCGTGACGTAAGTGACATTTGAAAGCATAGTGAACAGGGGAGATACTAATCTCCAACTTCTATCTCCTGAGTTTCGTCTTTACCGTGTAAAGCATGCTTGGCTTTCTTGCCCACCATAATTAGACAAAAAGCAGGGATCTGATTGTACTTGGCCATCAAACTGGTGTTCCTGCGTAAAGACTGCCGCCCCTGACAAGGAACCTGGTCGTTTCTTTTCTAGCAGAGTCCATCTATGTGTCCATGTGCACATTTGTGTACTTACAGATTGACTGAAGAGACAGAAGTGGGGAGCAGGTGTAAGGAGCCTGGCGTTGTCACGAGTAAGGACCCCTGGAATATAGTTCCAGGTTGACAACATTGCCTGGCATTTGAGCCATCAGACAGACAGATGTGTGTTCCAAGCCCGAATAGAAGAGCCAGAGACGCAGCTGCTCCAGCCTCTTCCAGAGCTGCTCTCCTCCATCACTCCTCACCAGAAAGGGAGGAGGCCCCACAACTCCTTCCTCTTACAACCAATCATGAAAACGGGTTTCCTGGAACGTGGCAGGAGTGGTTCCTTTTTATCTCAGCACCCCCTAGCTTAATGGTGGGCTTTGCCAAGAGCTGAGGCTGGAAAGGGTAATAGAAAAACCCACCCACCCTCTGAGCTCTCCTGATAGTGGTTGTGGTCTAGGTGCATTTTAATAGCTGGGTGTGCCAGCACTCTGGAGGCTCCCCAAGCTGAGCAGTGCAGTAGCCTATAAAGAAAGAGCAGCCAGTGGGGCCTTATCACCCGGCTTCCTTTTTCAGGAAGCACACATTTCCCTGCTTCAGGGGAAGAGGACAGGGAGACCAAAAGGGAAATGTTTTTCATCTGTGTCCTGGGAGCTTGGGGTGAGGACTCCTGAGGTGGGAGGTGAAGTCAGGTTGCCCCCTAGGTATACCCAAGATGTTGGGCTAGTATGTATGAGGCTCTGGGTTGCATCGCAAGCACATAGAAACAAAAAATGTAAAGATATCTATGGTTGGAGCTATCTTGAGCTCCAACTAGTAAGTGGGTTAGCATTGGGTGGTGTTAGAGGGACCCTGTCCATCTGCCCACACAGCTGAACTTCATGCCTCAATCCAGACATGTGTCCCTTTTCCTCCCTGCCAGGCCCCATGAGTGCATGAAGCAAGCAGGGGCTTGTCAAGAGGGGTGGTGACACCATGGCCATTTGAAGGCAAAACTTAGGCTCCATTTGCCCTGTTTAGAAATTAGAATTGTTTGTGTGATTAGCCAGCCAGGGTTCCGGGTGCCTGGCTAGAACTGGAGCAGTTAGGGGTATATACCACCAAGCCTGACACTTAGCCCTAGCTTATGAGTTTGGACCTGAGGGTGACACGCTCTGATTATGCATTGTAGAATGAAAATAGAAGTGATAAGCACATTTGTTTCTGGTTGTTCAGAAATACCATTGGTAAATGTGAACACAGCCTACCCAACATGAAGCCTCCAGACCCAGGGGAGAGAGAAAAGCAGGAGCTCCCCCCCACACACACACACTCTGCCCTCCTCCAGAAGTAGCCTCGGTGACTGGAAATCTGGGTCCTGGAACTCTGTGTCTAATGTTGGTTAGCTATATCCCATTTTTCCTGGGAGGCCTTGGGTCTTGGTCCTGCCCCTGTGGAATATGGGGATGGGGAGGGGGGAAGTAGTGTGCAGTCATGGCTGTATGGAAAGTTCTTCACTCTTTTCCCTACAGATGTGCCCTGTAGCTCTGCCCCTGTGGCTTGAAGCCAGCACTCCAGGGCTCAAGGGGCCTCTGGGACCCTCTGTACTCCTGGCCACCTCCCACCCCCTGTTCTCTAATTTGGACTCTCAGTTGGGTAGTAGAAACCCTGGCTAAGCTGAAGGGTGAGCAGTGGAACTAGGGGTCTGGAAGCTTCTTGAAGCCTTGGTCTTGCACATGCACACTACCTGCCTCCTAGAGCCCACCACAGCCCATTCCTGCCTGTTCTTGAAAGACTTGCGGAACTCCAAGGTCACACAGCACCAAATGGAAACTATGCCTCAGGCAGCTCTCTTGGCCTTTTTCTCCAAATCATGCATGTTTCTGCCCATATTTGGTGGTGGTTTGGCCGCTGGGCAGCTCTCCAGGAGAGTGTGCCCAGGAGAGTATGCAGAGGAAGCAGTTAGGCAGCCCTGCTCCTGACTTCTTCCTGCCTCTCTGAGTTAGAAAGGGCCCCTAAAAGACCAGCAGGAATGGATGCCGATCTGCCTGGGAAGGGAGTTAAAGCCCAGTTTTTCCTTTTAGTCTCCAGAGGAGAATTTTTTCAGATGTTTTTGTGTGAAGAATATTTTTACCATTGCTTTTGAAAGAATTTTCCTCCTAACCACTCCCCTTTTCTGAGAATTTTCTCTAAACTAAATGTTTTCAACGTGTTTACAAGCCCCCCTTCTCCTTCCTACCCCTGGGATGGGATAAGAACAGCCATGTTTACCCAGAATCCCTCAAGGGGCTTCCTTAGTGATGAGCTGTGTGATCTCCTACCAGGAGGGAGATTTCAAGGACTCATCTTCATTAACTTATTGCTGTCAGACTTAATGCTTTCTGTGCATGCTCATTCAAAGTTTAGCATAAGCATACCCTCTGCCTGCAGGACAGAGTAAGAATGGACCATGGACAGACTCCCCATTCAGGCATCCTCACTCAGTTCTTGCTGAAGGCAGGCCGGGGCCTTTCAAAGCAGCTCCTGAGGGGCCACCAAGATGTTTCAGTAGGTAAAGGTGCTTGCTGCTTAAGCCTGGTGACCTGAGTTTGGTTCTTGGAACACTTATGAAGGTGGAAGGAGAGAATCAATTCTACAAAGTTGTCCTTTGATTTCCATACACATTCCATGACACATGTGTGTCCACATATACATAAAATAATTTTAGATGATGATGATGAAGATGATAGATAGATAGATGATAGATAGAGAGATAGATAGATGATAGATAGATGACAGATAGATGATAGATTAGATAGATAGATAGATAGATGATATATATATATAGATAGATGATAGATAGATAGATAGATAGATAGATAGATAGATAGATAGATAGATGACAGATAATATGATAGATAGAGAGATAGATAGATGATAGATAGAGAGATAGATGATAGAACCCCTGGGCTATGAGCAGTAGGCTAAGAAGGGACTTTGTCAAGACTACCTAGAAAAGTAAGATTTAGGGGAAGGTAGGCACAGGGCATTTTTGTAGACCAACTGAAGTGCAAAGATCTTCAGAAGGTTTCTCTGGGCTGGGCATAGTGGGATGCCCCATAGTCCTAGCTCACCTGGAGGCTGAGGCAAGGGGATTGCTTGAACCCAGGAGTTTAGGGCCAGCCTGAGCAACATAGTGAGACTGTCTTCTTTTTTTCTCTCCTTGTGGACTGATGACTTTCCTTTCCCTTCTTTCCAGGGTTGAATTCCAGAATAAATTCTACAGTGGGACTGGTTTCAAGTTCCTACCCTTCTCCTTTGAGCACATTCGGGAAGGGAAGTTTGATGAGTGAGCCCCCAGCAGGGCCCAGCACCTTCCCTGCCTGCCTCCACAGTGATTATCGTGTTCCTTTGGCCTGTTGGATTGCTAGACATCAGGGCATTTGTGTCACCCTTGCCACCCCTACCCCAGCTTCAAGTCATTAGATAGTGTTGACCTTCCCTGGGTCTCTCTCCACCTCTAGCCTTGTGTGTAGTGTAGTGATTTCTAGAAAGAAGCTGGCTGTGCCAGACATCCCCACTGGCACCAGCCTTGGCCTCTGGGCTGACAGACAGACAGTCCTGCTCCATCCCCTGCTGGTGTGCCTGCCTGCACATCCACATGGAAGCACAGAGTCCTCAGAACTTCTGGGTAAGGGGGCCCCTCTCCTGTCCCCAGAGTTCCTGCCCACACCTCAGAGGGGATCACAGCAGGTTCTTTCCCAGAAAGGGACACTCTTTTTGGCACACATCCCACTCCAGTTAACAGGGCAGTCCCAGAAGATGGTAGTAGCATCCTTTGCCCACCCCTCTCCAGTGATTATTAATCAGGAATTCAGCTGGCCCCATCTGGACATAATGAGTTTCTCCTTGTCATCCCAAAGGTCCCAGCATAACTAGCACCATTCTCCAAATCACCCTTTACATCCTAGGACTGAAAGGAGGGGCTGGGGTGCAACTGGCTTGTAACAGGGCAGTCATTCTTCCTCCAGAGTAGCTTCTGCCAAGCCTGTACATGTATGGGCCCTGCTCAGCAGTACTCCCCTGGAACAGAGGTTCAAATTGACACTGTCTTCATGCAGCCCTGAGCCCCTCCCCACCTTGATCATGGTGACTTGAGGTTGTGGTTGTTGAGGCTGGTTCTGCCAGCAGGCCTGCCTTGATCTGTCCACTGATACTCCCTCCCTACTCCCTCATTGACCTCAGGTCTCAGGAGTGGTGTCCTGTGCCGGCCAGTCAGTGTCATTTACAGTTCGCTAACTGGAAGCAACTGGCAGGGCTGACAGTGCACATGTGCTGAGAGCTGTGCAGCCCTGCCAAGCCCATGACCCCCTGCATGCACTCTGACCCTTCTAATCATGTGCTGGCCCAGCCCTAACTGCTCCAGCTCCATTCACCCCATCACCTTCATTGAAGAGGTAAACATTAAATTGGCAAGGTCCATGCCCTCTTCCCAACCCAGTGCCCCTGAGAGCTCCTCACCCACTTGCCAGGCAGGGCTGGCCCACTGTGACCTGACCCAGACTGTACTGAATCCCCTCTCCTCTTGTGCCTGGTTTACATGGTGATCTTTGCTCTGTTTACACTAGTCTAAAGCAGAGTTCTTTGTCAGGGACCCTGCCCAAGGCCTTCTGTTCAGACATTCCTGTGCTGAATAAAATGTGTTTGACTCATGGAAGCTGCCTGTTCTGAGTACACAGCCCCTGTCACTCTGAGTTCACCCACTTGAGCCCATCTGGTGCCCCACACCTTTCCTCTTGCCAGCATTTCTGCCTTTCTGATCAGAGGCTACGGCTGCCATGGCCTGACTGGGCAGTTAGTTTGTGAAATTCTTGCCTTATCTCGTTTCCCGGGCACCGTCTCACTCCTGTGAGCCTAGGCAGTTTTGGAGACATGGGCCCTGACTCAAGGGACCTGGAAACCAGTCTCTATCTCTGCTCCCCTCTCTGTATATCCCAACATCCAGAGAAGGGGGCCTGGTGTCTGCCCTCCCTCTTTCCCAAGTGCGTTCTCCAGGGCTCAGCAGCCAGGCTCTTTTGAACCTTGATCCCCTTGGCCTTGGTGTGAATAGAGGCTTGGCAGGCTTTTCAGGGCAGCTGGAGAATGAGGTACTGAGGTAGACAGGCTGGAGGCCAAGGAGCCGGCAGTGGGCCAGGAGACGGGTAGGGAGGGTACTTCCCTCCTTGAGGCATACACATTCTTTGTGCCCCTCCCTCAAGGTTTGGAACCGAAGCTGCAGGAATGTGACAGCTGCTTCCCTGAAGGGTTGGGAGGGGCTGGGACATCTGGTTCCTTTCCTATTCCTATCCCACCCCAGCCTAAACCCTTCACAGTGCATCTATCCACCATGCCCAGCAAGCCCCACTCCACCTGGCTACTCAAATAAAAGATATAGGGGAAAATCTGGTTTATGAACTCTTAAATGTTGTTACCTACTCAAAAGAGACCCAATTAGAGCAGCAGAACAGAGTTGAGAAGCCAGGATTGAATCTAATTTATGGCAAGTGAATGTTAGACAAAGGGGTCCAGATGGAGAGAATTGGGCTTGAGGGTGCATGCCTATAATCCCAGCACTCAGAAGGTAGATGCAAGAAGATTGGGGGTTCAGGGCCAGCCTGGGCTACATGAAACATTGGTCCCAAAACACAAGGACAACAGCAAAACCTGTGTTGTTTTCATCAAATAGTGCGAATACAACTGGGCATCCGCATATGAAGGAACACATTTGGATTGCTCCCTAACAGAACAATGACCTCAAATGCTGGGTGTGTGCCTGCAATTCCAGCACTCAAGAGGCTGCACAAGAAGATCTTGACTTTGAGACCAGCATTAACATACAGCTGGACCCTGTTGCAATAAAATGAACTCAAAGTGGCCCATAGACCTAAATGAAAGCTAACGCTATGAAACTCAGGTGACCATCAAGTTAGGCCATAATTCTGACATATGGTACACAAAGCATGTATAACAAGATAAAAACTAGACTTCAAAACATTAGAAAACTTGTGTATCAAAGGTCAAAATTAAAGTACCCAGAGACAAAGAGAGATGGGGAAAAAGTCACAACCTAAAACCCAGTTGGTCTGAGGCTGTGTCATTCCAGGGAAGGGTAAAGGGCTGAGACAAGTCAGGAGAGAGGACAGGAGCAGCGACGGCAGTTTCTAAGTGGGCTGTGTGCGGCTAAGGGGAGGCTAGCACAGGGAAGGAAATTCTCCCCGTTCGCCCATTGTCCAGCCCACACATTCTCCCCAACAGAAGGTGGGCTGTGTGAAGTAAAGGAAGTTTGCTTCCCTTCCCTTTCTAAGAAAGAAAGAAAGGGAGGAAGGGAAGAGAAAGAAAAGGAAGAGGAAAAGGGCTCCCCACACCTCTGCCTGCTCTCCCAGCGCTTGGGAGTTGGGCCTGCAGGAGCTGAAGGTCCTTCTCATCTTTGTCTTCATGGTGAGTTTAAGGCCAGTCTGGCCTACGTGAAACCCTGTCTTAACAACAATAAAAACCATGTTAAACAAATTATCCAAAGACAAGTCCACTTCTACATACCTAGCTAAAGAGAATAGAAACGCACAAACAAAAGTGAACAAAGGTGGGCAGGAGAGATGGCTCAGTGGTTAAGAGCACTGGCTGCTCTTGCAGAGGACCCAGGTTCAGTTCCAGCACCCATGTCAGCTAACGCCCATCCGTATCTCCAGTCCAGGAGAATCCAATGCCCTCTTCTGACATGGATGCACTTACATACATGCAGGTAATACACATACACACAATATAAAAATAATAAAATATTTTTAAGTAAACAAAGGTGGTCTTAGCAGCATTATTCATTACAGCCCCCAAACAGAAACAGCACAAATGTCCATCAGGCTAGTGAGATCTACATAATGAGTTCCAGGTCAGCCAGGGCTACATAGTGAGACCCTGTCTTTAAAAAAGCAACAATGTCGTGGTGGCACACGCCTTTAATCCCAGCACTTGGAAGGCAGAGGCAGGCGGATCTCTGTGATTTCAAGGTCAGCCTGATCTACGTAGTGAGTTCCAGGCCAGCTGGGGCTACAGGGAGACCCTGTCTCAAAAAGACCCCTAATGTCCATCTCTGGCCTCCACACTCACATGCACACACACACACACACACACACACACACACACACACGCGCACACATGCACATGACAGTAATAATAGTGAAGTGATGATAATGCTACAACATGAACAGACCTCAAGGAAATTCTTTTTCGAAAGTGTTTTTGAGACAGGTCCTCAGGATCTAGCCTCACTATGTAATTTTTTGCAACACTCCTGCCTCTGCCTCCCAAGTGCTGAGATTACAGCATGCAACACCACATCTTGCAGAATTAAAATTTTTTTCTGGGACTGGAGAGATGGCTCAGCAGTTAAGAGCACTGGCTGTTCTTGCAGAGGAACTGGGTTCAATTCCCAGCACCCATGGCAGCTAGCAAACATCTGTAACTCTGGTTCCAGGGGATCTGACGCCCTCTTTATGATCTCCACAGGCATTGCACACACGGTGCACTTACATACATGTGAGCAAAACCCATATATATATATATATATGTATATATATAATTTTAATTCTAAGGAAAATAAGACACTGAAGATGGCACATTGCATAATTACATTTTTGTGATATGTCCACTTTAGACAAAAAGACAGGTGGTTGCAGGGGCTGGACACCCCCTGAGGCTTGAGGGAGAGGATTGAAGTGGGGAGTGATCACTAATGAGCAGGGATTTCTTTGGAGAGGGATTTTGAAATTAAATGAAAACTTAGCCTGTGGTAACAGCTGCACAATTCTGTGAATATACTAAAAACCATTCACTATTGTGTTCTTGGCTTGTATCCAGCTGCCTTCCCTCTGTGTCCTCCCAGGCCAGCACGAACGGCTGGGTGTGGGGAAGAACAGATTTATTATATCTTTTTTTTTTTTTTTTCATTTTGAGCCAGGGTCTCCCTGCAGCCCCAGCTGGCCTAAAACTCACTATGTAGTCCAGGCTGGCCTCAATCTCATAGAGATCCGCCTGCCTCTGCCTCCTGCCTGCCTCTGCTGGGATTAAAGGTGTGTGCCACCAGGCCTGGCATTTATTATCTTTTTTTTTTTTTTTTTTTTGGTCTTTTTGAGACAGGGTCTCCCTGTAGCCCCAGCTATCCTGGAACTCTCTAAGTAGACCAGGCTGGCCTTGAGCTCACAGAGATCCACCTGCCTCTGCTTCCCAAGTGCTGGGATTAAAGGTGTGCACCACCATGCCCGGCTCTGTCTTTTTTACATTTATTTATTTGTGTGTGCTTGTATATGTAGTAATTAGAGGAAAATTGTGGGATTCAGTTCTCTCCTTCTACCATGTGAGTTCCAAGGATCGGATTCAGGTCATCAGGCTTGGAAGCAAGTGCCTTTAAATGCTGAGCCATCTCATCACCACCACCCCTCCTTTTTTTTTTTTAGATAGGGTCTCTAGCTCAGGCCCCTCGGCCCGTCTCAAACTTACTATGTATCCAAGGATGACCTTCAACTTCTGATCTTCCTGTTGCCACATTCTGGGTGATGGGATTAAAGGTATGCAGCACCCACCCCCTGGTTGATGCAGTACTGAGGATTACACCCAGGGTTTCCTGCACACTAGGAAAGCACTGTACCAACTGAGCTCCATTTTCAACCTTTTAGCTGTGTGTGTGTGTGTGTGTGTGTGTGTGTGTGTTATATGGAATATATTCATGGTATGCGTGTATGGGTGCACATGGAGGCCGGAGGCTGATAGTGGCTCTCCGTTGACCCCCCACACACACTTTTTGGCTTTTTTGAGACAGTCTTGCTATTAGCCCTGGATGGCTTTGAACTCTATATGTAGATCATCCAGGATTTAAACCTGCAGTGTATCTTGTCACTGCCTCTAAAGTGCTGGGAATCAGGCATGCTCACCATACCTAGCTAAATTGTACACTTGGTAAACTTGTTGGTATAAATCTTTTTTTTTTTTTTTATCTTTTTGAGACAGGGTCTCCTTGTAGCCCCAGCTGTCCTGGAACTCACTGTATTCGACCAGAGTTGTCGAACTCACAAAGATCTGCCTGCCTCTGCATCCCAAGTACTGGGATTAAAGGTATATACCACCATGCCCGGCAGTATAAAATCTTAATAAAGCAGGAGGAGCCGAAGCCTAAAGCTTCCTTGAGAAGAAATGTCTCCCCAGTCTGGCTGGTGGGAGCTGGGGGGAAGCAGGGTCCATGAGTCCTTGACTAGGCTGAGTTCTCAGAATCCAGCAACTTTGAGTTGCTTCCAGCCAGCTGAAGATGGGCTGGTTAGGAGCTGGGCTGGAACATGTGGAACATTAGGAGTAAGGAGCAGGCTCCATTGTGCCTGCTTTAAGGGACATGTTCTTCTCCCTGACTCCTTTATAGTCCTCCGGACCAAGACATCTGCTGAGTGCATCTGTGCCCATGTTCTTGAAGCCCTAGAACCAGCATAGGAGACGATAACCACGAGTCTCCTGGACTTGGGGCGTCCCAGCCTTCATGGACATTGAGACAGTTCCATCACCATCTTCGTAAGATGGAACAGGATGCTTTTTCCTCATGAGCTCTGTGTCAGGAGTACTGGAGTGCAAATCCTCCTGGCAGCCTCCACCCCTGTGGAGGATGCGTACAGCTGCCAGCATACCCAAGGCATGAGCTGGGTGTTGGCTGTCCCCTAGTGGCCACACAGGGAAGGTCTTGCCTCTGGCCAAGAGGGTTAGGCTCCTAGCTGGCCTTTCAGGGAGGCAAGTGGATGGGCAGGAGAGAAAGAAGAAATCCTGGGGCTTTTCTGGAGTGTGCAGGCCGGGGAACAGGCTGGCCAGAGGCAAAAGCCAGATGAGATGGAGAGCAGGCTGGGACCCAGCCAACATGTGTCACACATTAACTGACAGAATAATAAAACGTGTCCCATGCTAAAAGGATCAAAATGCATGAAAGGCCCTATTATAAAGGTCCTGTGCCAGGCGTGGTGGCACATGCCTCTAGTCTCAGCACTCAGGAGGCAGAGGCAGGCGGACATCTGTGAGTTCAAGGCCAGCCTGGTGTATATAGTGAGTTCCAGGACAGCTGGGGTTACAGGAGACCCGTCTCAAAAAGGCAAAAAAAAAAGTAAGTCCTGTGCCAGCTCTGAGGCTGCATACTGTAGTCTCAGCACTCGGAAAGCAGGGCCGGAGGACTGCTGCAAGTCTGGGACCAACCTAGTCTACAGAGCGAGTTCCAGGCCAGCCAGGGCTCCATAGCAAGATTCTGTTTCAAAAAAGAAGAGGAGGGGGGTGGGGAGGAGGAGGAGGGAGTGGGGGTGGGGGAGCAGGAGGAGGAAGAAGCAGAAGTAGCAGTAGCTGTGGAGGCATAGACCTTTAACCCCAGCACTGAGGAGGCAGAAGCAAGCAGATCTCTGTGAGATCGAGGCCAGCCTGGTCTACGTTATGAACTCCAGGCCAGATGGGGTTAGAGAGAGACCCTGTCTCAGAAACAAACAAACAAAAAATCAGGTGCAGCAGTGCTCACATATAACACCAGCACTGAGGGAGGGGGTAGGTAGAGACAGGCAGATTTGGGGGCTCCCTGACTAGCCAGCCTAGCCAAAGTGATAAGCTCCAGACCCAGTAAGAAACCCTGACTCAAAAAATAAAGTGGAGAGTGATCGATGACACCAGACAGAGAGTGATAGATGACACCAGACAGAGACCTCTGGCCTCACAAGTGTATACACACACACACACACACACACGCATGCACACGCATGCACACACACAGCTTCTAAGTGTCTGTTATATGAAAACAGGGTGGAGAGAAATTCCAGGGGCTCATCTTTCTGGGCCAATTTTGATTTGATGATGCTTCCTCAGAAAGGCTAAGAACTTGGGGCTGGAGAGATGGCGGTTAAGAGCACTGGCTGCTCTTGCAGAGGACCTGGGTTTGATTCCCAGCACCCACATGGCAGCTCACACCACCCATAACTCCAGTTCCAGGGGATCCCATGCCTTCTTCTGACCTCTGTGGGCATTGCATGACAGGGGTGCATCTACTTACATGCTGGCAATACACTCATACACATATGAGATGAAGAGATGGCTCAGCAGTTAAGAACACTGACTATTCTTGCAGAAGACCTGGGTTCTAATCCCAGCACCCACATGGCAGCTAACAACCATCTGCAACTCCAGTTCCAGGGGATCTGACAGCCTCTTCTGTCCTCCATGGACATTGCACAACACAGGTGCACTTACCTACATGCATGCAATACTTATGCATACACATAAAATAATAAAATATTAAAATATTTTAGAAAGGCTGAGAACCTCCTGATCCAGGGAACTGAGGGAAAGAGAGGGAGGGAGAAAGGGAGGGAGGGAGAAGGGAGAAGAAGGAAAGACAGAGGGTGGAAGAGGAAAGGAAGGGAGATGGCGAGGAGGAGGGAGAGGGAGGGAAGGCAAGGGAGAGGGAGCTTCTCCTGCTTGGGGAGCCAGAAATGGGTGCTGCTTCCTACAATCCCATACCCATCTGCACCCCCTCCACCCCTGTGGGACCTGTCTTGAACTCATTATGTAGCTCAAGTCTTGAACTCTAGATCCTTTCCTTAGCCTCCCAAATGATGAGGTTGCAGGCAGGTGCCACCAGGCCTGGCTTCAGAATCCTTTTAGAAAGCGCATATTTCCCAAGACCACTACTGTGGCAGCCAGCCTTGGGCACCCTCTCCCCGCCAGGCAGCCTGAGAAGCTACAAGGCTTGCAGAATAGGGCCATTGGGCTCCAGGGGTAAGACTTCCCACTCTCCTCAAGCTGCTCCCCCAAGCCACTTCCTCAGTTGCGCAGTCCTGTCCAGTTCTGTTGCCACTGCCTTGTGAGGGTCAGATGGAAAGCCTTCCCATCTGACCAGGTTGGGCTGCTGGCCAAGCTGGGCACACGTGGCCATCCTGCTTCCAACCACCTGACCTTTTAGTTCCTCAAATCCTCCAAGCTAATGAGCCTCCATGCCCTCATCTAGCCGCATCCTTCTATGGAGAAGGCCTTTTCCTCCGTCTTCTAAATTTCTGCTCAGTCTTGGGTTACAGATAAAATGTCACTGCCTTTTTGGTGGCTTAGCCTGGGTACCCCTGCTCTTCATAGCCATCAAACCTGGGGAAATTCTTTCTTTTCTTCTCTTCCTTCCTAGGTGTGTGTACCCAGCATAGGTACCCAGCATCAAGGCACACATGTGGTGATCAGAGATAGGAAGGAAAGAAGCTTCAACTGAACCTTTTATAAGACTGAACTGATTAGAACTTCAATAATCGTGGAGAGGTTGGAATGTTGCAAGTCCGGAGCCAAATTATTTTTAGCCCTCTTTTGTTTGTTTGTTTGTTGAGACAGGGTCTCACTCTGTAGCCATGGCTGGCCTGGAACTTGCTATGTAGACCTGGCTAGCTTCACTCACAGAGATCCTCCTGTCTCTGCCTCCCTCCCTAGTGCTGGGATTGAAGGTGGGTCCCACCATGCCCAGTCATTTCTAGCCCGCTTAATAGCTATTTCTTGCCCTCCTCTGTCCCTGACCTAAGAGCTTTGTAATCATTAGGCAAACCATTTAAAATGTACAAACAGAGCACTAGTTTTCCTTTAAATGTATGAACGAGGTAGACCACTAGCTTCCACCAACCCAAGAGCTAAGAGCGTCATCAGAGTGCATCTGAGGCCTATAACAGTTTGCTGTAACCTACGTCTTTGATGTCTTCACCAGTGTAGCTGAAAAGTGTCTTGATTTGTTTTATTTTATTTATTTTTTCGTTTGTTTTTTTTTTTTTTTTTTTTGAGACAGGGTCTCCCTGTAGCCCCAGCTGTCCTGGAACTTGCTATGTAGACCAGGCTGGCCTTGAACTCACAGAGATCCGCCTGCCTCTGCCTCCCAAGTCTTTAAAGGTGTGCGCCACCATGCCTGGCTTTGTGTCTTGATTTATGACTCTCTTTGTTTTTTACTACAAAAACTTCATGAAACTGCTTCCAAGTTGGAACACTGGAATTCGGGGTGACCTAAACCTGTGTTCCTAGGCTACAGTCACTCGTATTTGGCTCCAGAATAAACTATTTCTTATCCCCTTTGGGGTGAGAGTTGTGTTTTTGTGTCAACAGAAGATCACCTCAGGTGTCAGTCCTGGACTTCCATGTTGTTGGAGACGGGGTCTCCTGTGCATCACTTGGTACACCATGCCAACTGGTGGGAAAGTGGAGATGGAATCTCCACCCCATCTGACAGAAGCATGGAGTTACCCAGAGCTTTATGTGAGCCCTTCGGATTCCAACGATTGCAGTCTAAGGATTGCATGGCAATTCTGTGTTTGGTTTGCAGGTCTCACTTCAGATAAGGACATCAGAAAGCATCTTTCACCAGTACAGCAGTAGCTATGGCAGTGTCTGATACAAAAATCAAATCAACTCCACATATTTATTTATTTATTTAAATTTTATGTAAGCAAATGCAGGCAAATGCGCCCATGCCGTGCAATGCCCGCAGAGCTCAGAAGGGGGCGTCAGATCCCCTGAAACTGAAGTACAGAGGGTTGTTAGTCGCCGTATGGGTGTGGGAACCCAGGTCCTCTGCAAGAGCAGCCAGTGCTCTTAACCGCTGAGCTATCTCTCTAGCCCCGAGACAAATACATATTTACAAGATGGGGTCTGGGGCTATGTGGTTGGAAGCTTGCTAGGGTTCAAATCTCATCAGTTTAAAAAAGAAAAGTGTCTGATTTGGAATGAAAGTGACTTACAGATGAAAGCGCATCCACAGAAAGCGCCTGGGGAAGTGCAGCGCGCCCCACTTGGTCCCATCTGGCCGCACGTGTTGATGGGGTCATGCGCTCTCCAGCTGCACGCGGTCAGCAGACACCCAGAGCGTAACCCGGCCCGGAAGCCCTTTCTGGATGTGGTTGCAGGAGACGCCCTTCAGGTCCACGTGGCCTGAGGTCCGCAGCCCATTGGGTGCGGGCCACCCCGCCCCGCGGCTCCGGAGCCCGGCTTGGTGGTCAGCTGGCCGCCGCGAAGCTGGGACCATGGACTTGGCGGTGGCCGTGACTGTGGGATTCCTACTCCTGGCCCGGGGTTCGGTGGGCGACGAGGCCCGGGAGGCCGCGGCCGTGCGTGAGCTGGTGGCCCGGCTGCTGGGGCCCGGCCCTGCCGCCGACTTCTCCATATCGGTGGAGCGCGCCCTGGCGGCCGAGTCGGGGCTGGACACCTACAGCCTGAGCGGCGGCGGCGCGACGCCCGTGCGCGTGCGCGGTTCCACTGGCGTGGCGGCCTCCGCGGGACTGCACCGCTACCTGCGCGACTTCTGCGGCTGCCAGGTGGCTTGGTCGGGTTCCCAGCTGCACCTGCCGCGGCCGCTGCCCGCCCTGCCGCAGGAGCTGACCGAGGCCACGCCCAACAGGTACAGATGATGAGGGTCCACACCCGCTGGGGCTGCAGCCTCCATCCTCAGAGCATCCACCCTTCGCTCCGCCCTCTCTGCTCCCATCTGCTGCTGCAGACACCTGGGGTTCGCCCACTGTCCAAGTCTGAGCTCCACTAATAGCTGTGAGTTCTTAAGCAAGTGACTTAGCCTCTCAGAGCCTCGGCTGAGCCTTCTGAAAAACAAAAAAGCGGAAATAAGGCTCACCCTGCAGGGCTCATAGAGAATCTGCACAATGATGGACATGGAATTGCTTGGGCGTTCTTGGGGTTAATACATTCCATTCCCTTCCTTCTCTAGCCACTCTTTGAAGGTGCCGCGCAGTGACGCTCGCACCCACGTGGGCGTTTATTCTAGCACTTGCTACACTGTATGGACACCATGTGTTCACACACCTGTGCCCCCATCAAACTGTGGGAACAGGGAGCCCTCTTCCTGGACAGGGACCAGTTTTGCCTTGTGGCGCTGAGATCCTAAGACACCACATCGCACACAGTAGGAGCTCTAGAAGTGGTTCATGAAAATGAATCTATGGCCACAAATAGCTGCCAGGCTAGGGGCACCAAATGTGGCTTTACTGGGGTGGATCAGGAATGAGCAGTAGAGGGTCAGTTTGAAACTTCTCTCCACTCCCGTTTGAGGGGGGTGGTATTGGGGGAGTGTGCCAGGACCAGGCTGCCTAGTAGGAGTTCCCAGTGTGGGAGGTATACTGTATGTCCCCAGTGATGTGACCTTATCCACAGGTACCGCTATTACCAGAATGTGTGCACACACAGCTACTCCTTCGTGTGGTGGGACTGGGCCCGCTGGGAGCGAGAGATTGACTGGATGGCATTGAATGGCATCAACCTGGCGCTGGCCTGGAGTGGTCAGGAGGCCATTTGGCAGCGGGTGCGTGCCCACCTAGCCCCTTGCACTGTCCTACATCCCACTAGCCCTGGGAAACTGAGGTTTCTTTCCATGTCTGGACAAACACCTCCAAGTGCTTACTGTGGGGGAGACTCCAGCAGTCTACTGAAACAGTTGAAGAAGCCAGGGCAAGCTGGGTGTGGTGGCGCTCCCCTTTAATCCCAGCACTTGAGAGGTAGAGGTAGGTAGATCTTTGTGAGTTCAAAGCCAGCCTGGTCCACATAGTGAGTTCCAGGCCAGTTGAGGCTACAGGGGACCCTGTCTAAGAAAGATTTTTTAAAAAAGAAAGAAAGAAAAAGAAGAAACCTGGGTGGCCGGGCCTGGTGGCACTGCCTGCAATCCCAGCCCTCAAGTGGAGGCAGAAGAATTAGAAGGTCAAGGTTCATTTTTGGCTACATGGTGAGTTTGAGGCCAGCCTGGGCTATATGAGACCCTGTCTGATAAAAGAAAAGTCAGGGTTCCTCCACCTCAGTGGTCTTGGTCTACTCTCTTTTCTTTGGCCAACTTTGCTCCATGGAGCTGTCTCAGACCCTCCCTGGTTTGAAGAAAGCCCCTTTGTATCCCATATCCTCGCCCATGTCACAAAAGTGACACTTTAGTGCACTCATCTACTCATGGGTCTGTTTCTCTTGGGCCATGGACTCCTTGCAAGCTGGGGTCCAATTCTGTCTTCATAGCAATAGCGTCCAGCACAGAGAAGTGAATGAATGTTTGTTCAATGAAGTGCTGAATGGGGCTTGGTATGTTTGTTGGTATGGGGCTCTTTCTTCCTCAGGTGTACCTGACCTTGGGCCTGACCCAGTCAGAGGTTGATGAGCACTTCACTGGTCCTGCCTTCCTAGCCTGGGAGCGCATGGGTAATCTGCACACCTGGGATGGCCCCCTGTCCCACTCTTGGCACCTCAAGCAGATTTATCTGCAGGTAAAAGGATGGGGAAGGGAAAAGAAGGGGTGGGATAGGGGCAGGCCAGAGAGGGTGGTACTTGGCCAGCCTCAAGGCTCTTTAACAGGTTCACAGGGACCCTCCCCTGAGCAAGTAAGGGCCTCCCCCAGCAGAGGTCCTGCTAACCTTACCTTCTGTTCCTTTCAGCATCGGATTCTGGACCGAATGCGCTCCTTTGGCATGATCCCAGTGTTGCCGGCATTTGCAGGGCATGTCCCCAAGGCCATCATCAGGTGAGGTTCTCCTTCCCTGCCCACTAAGCCCAAAGGGAAAAGGTTTGGCTTACAAAACACAACTTAAAGACAAATTGACTCAGGTTGGTGTGAGTTTGACTTTTGACTCTGCTGTCAATTGCAACCTAGACTCGACCACTCTGTGCCTCAGTTTCCTTGCTTATAAAATGAGATCTTGCTGGGTATGGTGGTGCACACCTTTAATCCCGGAACTTGAGAGGCAGAGGCAGGCAGATCTTTGTGAGTTCAAGGCCAGCCTGGTCTACATAATGGTTCCAGGACAGCTGGGGCTACAAGGAGACCCTGTCTCAAAAAAGACAAAAAAAAAAAAGAAAGAAAGAAATCTTTAAAAAAAAACCCAAAAACCATGGGGCAGGGGGCTGGAGAGATGGCTCAGTGGTTAAGAACACTGGTTGTTCTTGCAGAAGACCTGGGTTCGAATCCCAGCACCCACATGGCAGCTAACAACTGTCCGTAACTCCAGTCCCAGGGGATCTGACAGCCTCTTCTGACCTCTGAGGGCATTGCATGACACAGGTGCACTTACCTACATGTAGGCAATACATGCTTACACATAAAATAAAAATAATTGAAAAAAAAACCCATGGGATCATTGCTGGGTGTGGTAGTATACTCTTGTAATCCCAGCACTTAAGAGGTTGAAGCAGTTCCAGAGGATCTCAGAGGATCACCAGTTCCAGGCCAGCCTGCATGCATATAAGTGCACCCATGTCATGTCATGCCATACCTGCAGAGGTCAGAGAGGGCATCAGATCCCCTGGAACTGGAGTTATGGTTGTTAGCCACCATGTGGGTGCTGGGAACCAAACCTAGGTCCTCTGCAAGAGCAGCCAGTGCTCTTAACTGCTGAGCCATCTTCCAGCCCCAAGAGACCCAGTCTTAAGAAAAAAAACTTTTCCAGACTGTTAACATCAAACTTAGAAAATTCACCCAATTTTAGTAATATAATTACTTATTATTTTTATGTGCATGAGTGTTTTGTCTGCATGCATGTAAGAGCACAATGTGTGTGCATGGTAGCAGAGGTCAGAAGAGACCATTGGATCTCCTGAAACTGGAGTTACAGAGGGCTGTGAGCCACCATGTGGGTCCTCTGCAAGAGCAGTTAGTGCTCTTAACCTCTAAGCCATCTCTCCAGCCCTATAATTATTTTTTAAAGAGGAGGAACGAAAACAATGTTAAGTAGCCTCCTCACCTACTGTCCCAGAAGGTCTGGGTGTATATTATTTGGCACAGAATACTAGGTTTGTTGGTCTCTAGCCTTCCGTTTCAATGCTGTCTGTCTTGTGACTGGGCAGGCTTTCAAGGCCCAGCCAAAGCTTCTTTTCCATGAAGCCTTGCCAGCACCCCCATGGACCCCCTAAACATAAAGACACACTGAAATTCTGGAGGTTGACATGAGTTTGACTTCTGGCTCTGCTATCAACTGTGACCTAAACAGATTACTCAACCACTCCATGGCTCAGTTTCCTCAATTATAAAATGGAATCATGGGGGACTGGAGAGACTTCACACTGAGGAGCACCTGCTTCCTGCCACTGTCACAGTGCAGTGACATTGAAGATCTCACTGGCTCTCTCTCCTTCTTGCTCACCAGCCAGTGGGAACTTCATTCTTTTCATTCAGTGAACATGCCCAGCCAGGTGTCTTGAGCTGTCAGAGCTAGCCCTGTACTGGGTCCTAGAGATGAAGGTTCCCCAAGGCTCTATCCTAATGAGAGAGCGAGCAATGCCACAGTGGTTCGTGCAGGAGTGTGTATGGGCTTTTGTAGCAGAGGGGCAGAAAGGATGCAGGCATACTGTTTCAGACAGGTGACTTTAGGGACACTAGGGAGGAACCAGGTGGGTAAGCACTGGGGGAGAAGACAAGGACATCAAGCAGGGAGCATGCAAAGGTTCAGGGGCTTGAGAAACTGAAATGCACTCCAGAGGTCATAGATGTTAGTGAAGCTGGTGAGGGGTATGGCCAAGTTAGATGCTGCTCAGCCTCAGCAACTCTGAGCTTTTCTCCCACTAGGGTGTTTCCACAGGTCAATGTCACCCAGTTGGGCAGCTGGGGACACTTCAACTGCTCCTACTCCTGCTCCCTCCTTCTGGCTCCTGGAGATCCCATATTCCCTCTCATTGGAAGCCTCTTCCTATGGGAGTTGACCAAAGAGTTTGGCACAGACCACATCTATGGGGCTGACACCTTCAACGAGATGCAGCCTCCTTCCTCGGAGCCCTCCTACCTCGCTGCAGCCACCTCTGCTGTCTACGAAGCCATGATTGCTGGTATGGTGCCTGGAGCAGGGGCACCCCGGGACACCAGGGGGAAGGAATGGCAAAGGTTGGGGTGGGGGGCGGACACGTCATAGCACCCCCAGGGATACACCACACTTTGTAGCTTGACAGTCTGCATGTGTGTGCTGTCCCATTTATTCCCTCTGGAAGCTGAACTCTGAGGTCAGACAGCCAGACGCCGACCGTGACCTCATGTCTTGGGCACATCCCCCTCTCCCCCCATGTCTTGCTGTCTGTGCAAAAGGACTTCTCATGGTGCAAGAATATCTTGTAAAGAAGTTATTGGGCACAAGCTATTGAAAAGACTTTAAAATGGGCATGGTGACTTATACCTGTAATGCCAGCACTTGGGAGGTGGCGAGGTGGAGGCAGGAGGATCAGGAGTTTAAGGCCAACCTGGGCTATATGAAACCCTGTCTCCCCCCCCCCCAAAAAAAAAAGATTATTAAATTAGAATAAATTAAAATTAAATGGCCAGCAAGATGGCTTAGTGGGTTTTAAAAGCACTCAAAAGCTGGGCATGATGGCACATGCCTTTAGTCCCAGGACTCAGGAGGCAGAGGCAGATGGATCTCTGTGAATTCGAGGCCAACCTGGTCTACATTGTGAACTCGAGGCCAACCTGGTCTACATAGTGAGTTCCAGGCCAGCTGGGGCTATAGGGAGACCCTGTCTCAAAAACAAACAAACAAACACTCAAGCCTGTCCTAAATTTGATATCCAAAAATCAATGTAAAGGTGGAAGGAGAGAACCGACTTTACAAAGTTATCCTCTGACCTCCACAAATACACATCATACACATGCACACATGCACGCACACAAATAGTAAATAGTACATAATTTTTTTTTTTTGGTCTTTTTGAGACAGGATCTCCCTGTAGCCTCAACGGGCTATATGTAGACCAGGCTGGCCCTGCACTCACAGAGCTCTACCTGCCTCTGCCTCCCAAGTGCTGGGATTAAAGGAATGCGCCAGTAAAATACTTTTTAACAAGAAAACAAAGATTTTATTTGATCTCTACTGCATTGCTGAAGGTAGATCATGTAGGCCAGAGAGTAGGTGTTTGTCCTGTTGCACAGATAGGAAGCCAAAACTCCTTCCTACCATTCATAGAGGAAGATGGAGGGGCCCAGGTAAGGGATAGCTCCATGAAGATGCTCTGTGTCAGCCTGGAAGAGAGCACGTTGCCTTATGCTTCCTTGAGCAGTGCTGTCCAAGTGTGATCTGCGACCAGAGGCATGAGCCTTATTCTGAAGTTTAACTGTACTAGACCATCAAAACACCTGAGGTTGGTAAAGTGCTTGTGCAAGGCTCTGGGTTCAACCCAGTACTGCAAAAAAGAAACATCTGAGGCTGTCTAATTATAAGAAAAGAAGTTTAAGGGTTGGAGAGATGACTCCACAGTTAAGAGCACTGGCTGCTCTTCCAGAGGACCTGGGTTCGGTTCCTAGTGGCTAGACAACCATCCATAACTTCAGTTCCAGCGAATCTGACACCCTCTTCTGGCCTTCACAGGCATTTCATGTCTGTGGTGCACTTACATTCATGCGGGTAAAACACTGATACACATTAAATAAAAATAAATAGGGCTGGAGAGATGGCTCAGCAGTTAAGAACACTGTTCTTGCAGAAGAACAGAATCCCAGCACCCTCATGGCAGCTCACAACCGTCCATAACTCCAGTTCCAGAGGATCCGACAGCCTCTTCTGTACTCCTTGGGCATTGCAGGACATGGGTGCACTTACCTACTTGTAGTCAATACATGCATACACATAAAATAAAATATTAAAAAAAGAAAAGTTTATCAGGGAGAATGAGAGGGCTCAGCAGTTAAGAGTACTTGCTGCCCTTGCAGAGGATCCAAGTTCAGTTCCCAGCACCCATATCAAGCAGCTTTGACTACATGTAATTCCAGCTCCAGAGGATCTGACACTATCTTCTGGCCTCCAAGGGCACTCACACACATATGGTATACACACAGAGACACACACAACACATACACTTAAATTTAAAAAAAAAAATCCTCAGCTGGGCTTGGTGGTGCATGCCTTTAGTCCCAGCACTTGGGAGGTAGAGAGAGGTGGATCTCTGTGAGATCGAGGCCAGCCTGGTCTAACATAGTGAGTACTAGGTCAGCTGGGGCTACAGGGAGACCCTGTCTCAAAAGACAAAAAAAAGTCTTTAAAAAATTTTTTTTAAAAAGAACAGTTTCAGCCAGGCATGGTGGCACACACCTTTAATCCCAACACTCAGAAGCACAGGCAGGTGGATCTTTGTGAGTTCAAGGCCACCCTGATCTACAGAGAGAGTTCCAGGCAACTGGAGCTACAAACAGACCCCATCTCAAAAAAAAAAAAAAAAAAAAAATTTTTTTTTCTTTTGACTCAGAGTTCTAAAGATTCAAGTGCCCATATCTGACAATGGCCTTGAGGGCAGAATCTAAAGGTGGCACAGGGTGTCACATGGCAAGAACCAGGGACCATGAACAATGGGAATTTTGGCCTCATCCTGGGTCTCCTGCTCAGTGGACACAGAAATTGGGACTCAGGCATCCATGTCTTAAGCCTTCTCAGGAGTCCTAATGCCCTAGAAGCTGGAGTTTGGAGGAAGCAGGATGAGAAAGGATACCCACTGGTGATGGCAAAACTGCTAGAGGGACAGTCATGGGGGGAAGGTAGGACCTGTGATGATCTCGTCTTCCTCGTGTATAGAATGGGGTCAGCATCACTCCCTCTCCTCTCCTCACCTCTCTTCTTTGTCTTCCCCCAACTGCAGTGGATCCTGATGCTGTGTGGCTGCTCCAAGGCTGGCTCTTCCAGCACCAGCCCCAGTTCTGGGGCCCTGCCCAGGTCAAAGCTGTGCTGGGGTCTGTGCCCCATGGTCGCCTCCTGGTTCTGGACCTGTTTGCTGAGAGCCAGCCTGTGTACATCCGCACAGCCTCTTTCTATGGCCAGCCTTTCATCTGGTGCATGCTGCATAACTTTGGGGGCAACCACGGCCTGTTTGGAGCCCTGGAGACTGTGAACCAAGGTCCCCATGCAGCCCGCCTCTTCCCCAACTCCACCATGGTAGGCACTGGAATAGCCCCTGAGGGCATTGGCCAGAATGAAGTGGTCTATGCCCTCATGGCGGAATTGGGCTGGCGCAAGGACCCAGTGCCGGATTTGATGGCCTGGGTGAGCAGCTTTGCTACCCGGCGATATGGAATCTCTCAGCAGGATGCTGAGGCAGCCTGGAGGCTGTTGCTCAGGAGTGTCTACAACTGCTCTTGGGAGACCTGCAGTGGGCACAATCGCAGCCCTCTGGTCAAGCGGCCATCCCTACAGATGAATACTACTGTCTGGTACAACCGATCAGATATATTTGAGGCCTGGAAGCTGCTGTTAACAGCTGCTCCCAACCTGACTGCCAGCCCAGCCTTCCGGTACGACCTGTTGGATGTCACCCGCCAGGCAGTCCAGGAGCTGTTCAGCTTGTACTATGAGGAGGCGAGGACTGCTTACTTGAACAAGGATCTTGTTACCTTGCTCAGGGTTGGAGGCCTCCTAGCCTACAAGCTCTTGCCTGCCCTGGATGAGGTGTTGGCTAGCAACAGCCACTTTTTGCTAGGCAGCTGGTTGGATCAGGCCCGGGCAGTGGCTGTCAGTGAGGCTGAGGCCCAATTCTATGAACAGAACAGCCGCTACCAGCTGACCCTGTGGGGGCCAGAGGGCAACATCCTAGACTATGCCAATAAGCAACTGGCAGGACTTGTAGCTGATTACTACCAGCCACGCTGGGACCTCTTCCTGGAGACCCTGGCTCACAGCCTGGCCAAAGGTGTCCCTTTTCAACAACACCAGTTTGATAAGGATGTGTTCCTGCTGGAGCAGGCCTTCGTTGTCAGCAGGAAGAGATATCCCAGCCAGCCCCAAGGTGACACCGTGGACCTAGCCAAGAGGATCTTCCTCAAATATTACCCCAAGAGAGTGGCTGGCTCTTTGTGACAGGTACCTCCAGGAACAGGCCCCAAACCCTGGAACTGGACAAGTATAGGGTATTTCCCATGCCTGGGAGAAGGAGCCAAAGCCTACCAGTTGGGTGACACAGATGACTTGGAGGAAAAGAACTTCTCTCTTCCAAACCACCTGATTTGGGGTTGAAATACTGTTTTCTGTTAATAAACTGCTGAATCAGCCTGGATGAAAAGGTCACTGCCAGCTGGACATGGTGGCTCATGCTTTAATCCCAGCACTTGGGTGGCAGAAGCAGGTGGATCTCTGTGAGTTCAAGGCCAGCCTGGTCTACAGGGAGACCCTGTCTCAAAAAGACCAAAAAAAAAAATAGTCACTACCAGTATGTTGGAGGACTTGGGTGCATAGCATGGACCCATAGTGTTACACCCTGACTTCAGCTTGCCCATTTTAACACTAGTCCCTGACTTTAGAACTGGGAAGACCCTTCAGAAGTAGTACGGCATGGCTGCAAGCTCCTGACTAGAATTGTTCCTGGGAGCTGGGTGGTGCACACCTGTGATCCCAACACTCAAGAGATGGAGACAGGAGGATCAGAAGTTCAAGGCCAACCTCAGCTACATAGTTTGATGCCAGCCTAGGCTACAAGATGTCTCAAAACCAAAAAAGAAACATGGGGCTGGGTGTGGTGCACACCTTTAATCCCAGAGGCAGAGACAGGCAGTTTAAGGCCAGCTGGGTCTACATAATGAGACCCTGTTTTAAAAAAAAAGTGCTTGCATATGCTTAAATTGAAATGCTACAGAGAAGATAGCTTGACCCCTGGGTAAGGATGACATACAAATTCTTGAAGCATTCCATATTTTTGTTTTAGTAAAGTACGTTTTGTTCTAAACAAACACCAAAAATGTTCCTGGGGAAGAGGCCTTGATTCTGCCTGGGAGGATCTTCCGAGGGGAACCACTCAAGTCCCACCAGGGAGCCCAGTCTGCTCCTTGCTGAGCACCCCCTCCCCTGTAAGGCAGCTTGGTGTTAAAACCAGTGTCCTTTTCTGTGCCTTGACCCACAACAGGGTGGGGAGAGAGGACCTGACCTTGAGATTACCAGCAGACAAAACAAGGGGGGGGTGGGAACCCCAAGGGGAGGACCACCACAGCAGGGGTGGGGCCAAGCAGGTGATATCCTGCCCCAGACAGCCACCAGAGATCTTAGAGCTCCCAACTCCAGTACCATCCACATGGACCGCACTGTTGTGCTCATCACCGGGTGCTCCTCTGGAATTGGCCTGCACTTGGCGGTACGACTGGCTTCAGACCGGTCCCAGAGCTTCAAAGGTATATGAGGGGACAGGCATGGAGGCCAGGGAAGAGCCCACAGAGGTGTAAATAGGGTGGTAAGCCTTTTATTTTCTCCCAAACTTCCAGTCTATGCCACGCTGAGGGACCTGAAGTCGCAGGGGCCACTATTGGAGGCAGCCCAGGCTCGGGGATGCCCTCCCGGCTCCCTGGAGACACTGGCATTGGATGTCAGGGACTCAGAATCTGTGGCCGCTGCCCGGGCACGTGTGACCGAGGGCCGCGTGGATGTGCTGGGTAAGCCTCCCCATACACACCATACACATCCTGGTCCAATCCAGGACGCCCCGAGTTCAGAGAACATGAGGGGACAAGAGGGGGCCGAGAGCAGTGCGTGAGTGGGATCTGGCCTCTCTCACCGCAGTGTGTAATGCGGGACGGGGACTGTTTGGGCCGCTGGAGGCGCATAAGCTGGATGCTGTGGGCTCCGTGCTGGACGTGAACGTGGTCGGGACCGTGCGGATGCTGCAGGCCTTTCTGCCCGACATGAAGAGGCGTCGCTCCGGGCGTGTGCTGGTCACCGCGAGTGTGGGAGGTTTGATGGGTGAGCAGAAGAGACAGGGCCCAGAGTAAGGGATCCAGGACAGGGTGAGGAAGGGCGAGGCCTCAACAGCCTCGTCTTCCCTCCAAGGGCTGCCGTTCCATGCAGTTTACTGCGCCAGCAAGTTCGCCCTCGAAGGTTTGTGTGAGAGTCTGGCGATTCTGCTGCTGCCCTTTGGAGTCCAGTGAGTCACCAGCCCACCCAAACCCTTTGAAGTCTGGGAACCCAAACCGAGCTGTATTAGGACAATGCCTCTGGCCCCTCCTCCAGGTGACGTGTGTGCCAAGGTGCTCTTGGCACCTGTTATCTCATTTCACAAGTCACCCTATCTCTTAAGGCATATTGGGATTGAGAAGCACATAGAAGGTAGGTGACTGGCCCTGAATCACACAGCTGAAAGTTACGTAGCCAGGCTCCAATTCTGGTGCCAGAGTGCCCCTATCTGCCCCGGGTGGACATGGAACGCCCCCACACGAGCGCGCAGCCCTTTTGCAGTAGGATGCGGCCTCTCACCACTCCCTCTACTGTGGCCCCGCAGCGTGAGCCTTATCGAGTGCGGCGCGGTGCACACTGCCTTCTTCGCGAAGCTGGAGGGCGGCCTGGGTGGGGATCTTGAGCGCGCCGACGCCCCGACCCGCCGCCTCTTCGCACACTACCTGCGGGGCTATAAGCGAATCCTGAGCGAGGCGCAGGACCCGGAGGAGGTGACAGAGGTGGGCGCCTAGGGGCCCGGGGGAGGGGCGCCGTCGCCGTGCGAGGACGCGAGGTACACCGGGGCGACAACCCACGCTGCTTTTCCCGCCGCAGCTCTTCCTGACCGCGCTGCGCGCCCCGCAGCCCGCCTTGCGCTACTTTAGTACAGAGCACTTCCTGCCGCTGGCCCGGCTGCGCCTGGAGGACGCCAGCGGTTGCAGCTACGTCGCAGCTATGCACCGCGAGGCCTTCGCCGGCCTGCAGGTGCAGGAGGAGACGGAGGCACGCAGCCCGGGCCCCCAGGGGACCCCGAGCCCCACGCTTCTTTAGCCGCCGAAATAAATAAAGCCTGTGTGGGTCCCAGGCTCCTGCGCGCTCTTTGCCTCCCTCGGTGTGCGACTCCTCCCTCGAAAGTTGGGGTAGGGGTGGCGTCTGAATTGTGCTGGCCTACATCGGATAAAACCAGCCAGGACAAATTATGCTGCCGCTTATAGCACGCAAAAGGGCCATTAGGGTCTCTGTTTTCTTATCTTTAAAATGGGCACAGAATCTTTTTAAAAAGTGCAATCTTGATCTCATGGATTGTAGTGAGAGCTGTTAATCTCGCCGAGTTGCTAAGTGGAGTTTTTTTTTTCCAATAAATTATTATTATTATTATTATTATTATTATTATGTGTATATGTGTGTATGTTGTGAGGAGGTGGGCAGAACACACTGCACCAAGGCACAATTGCAGAGGTCAGAGGACAACTTTGGGGAGTCAGTTTTCTCCTTCCACTGTGGGCTCCAAGGCTCAAACTCAGGTCTTCAGGCTTGTACCACAAGTGCTTTTACAGCTGAGCCAGCAAGTTGTAGGAGGTTTTAACAGCAGGCATCAATTGAGAGTAGCCTCTTTTGTTAAGACAGCATCTCATATAGCCCAGGCTGGTCTTGAATTTCTCATCCTCTTGCCTCCACCTCTCAGGTGCTGGGGTTACAGGCCTTGGCCACCCTGCACAGTTTCCTAGCTTAAGTCAAGCTAGAAATGCTTTCTGCAGAACCAGATGTATAAAAAAGAAACTGACTCTAATGCCAGCATTCAGGAGGAGCAGGAGGAGCAGGGGACCTGGGCCAGCCTGGGCTGCAGGAGATCCTTCAAAAAGAAAAAGCTTGGCCGGGCATAGTGGTGCACACCTTTAATCCCAGCACTTGGGAGGCAGAGGCAGGCGGATCTCTATGAGTTCAAGGCCAGCCTGGGGCTCCAGGGAGACCCTGTCTCAAAAAGACCAAAAAAAAAAAGAAAGAAAGAAAAGAAAAGAAAAGAAAAGCTTGGTGAGGCGGCACTCCTGTTGCTACATCTGACTAAGAGATAGAGGCAAGAGAATGGGAAGGTCAAGTTCATGCTCACTTTAGAGGTCCAGATACTAAAATTGGAATGATACAGAGAGGATTAGCATGGCCCCCATACAAGGATGACATGCAAAATCACGAAGCATTCCATATTGAAAACAAAAAAATGTTCAAGGTCATCCTCCACTATGTAGCCAGCCTGGGCTATACAGGACCCTGTCTCAAAAATACCAAAACCAAGCCGGGCATGGTGGCACATGCTTTTAGTGTCTCAAAAAAGACCAAAACAAAAACAAAAAACAAAACAAAATACACACACTCACCCCCCCCCAAAAAAAACCCTTCACAAGAACCTTGTTATGGGCTCATTACATCAAACTAGGCAGCCCTGCTGTCACCCTCCTTATCCCTGCCCAAGACAAAATTCCTGAAAGGTCCACCCAGCTCCAGCCTGGGAGCGCTGTTCCTGTTCTCTCCACAGGAGAGTCAGCTGGGCTCCAGTATGCTGGAGGGTCTGTCCTCCCTCCTGAGCCCATAGAGGGTTGCATGGAGGCGGAGCCACTGATAAGTACCTGCAGGGTGGAGGGCTGCTGGGGAAGGTAGAGGGAGATGGAAGTTAGAACAGAGGCTGCAGGCAGGGGAAAGGGCCCAAGTGTCCCCAGGGGATTAGGCTGAGGCGCATGTCTAAGAGAAGGTAAAGGATGGGGAGAGCTAGCTCTTTGCAGTGGACCGGCCATGGCTGTAGGGAGCCTGGAAAGTGGGAACTGAAAGAAGCCTACTGGGGGTGGGAGGGGGGATAGACAGATGGCTCAGAGGTTAAGGACACTGATTGTTCTTCCAGAAGACCCAGGTTCAAATCCCAGCACCCACATGGCAGCTAACAACTGTCCATAACTCCAGTTCCAGGGGATCTGACAGCCTCTTCTGTCCTCCGCAGGCATTGCACAACATGGGTGCACTTACCTACAGGCAGGCAATACATGCATACACATAAAATAATAAAATATTTAAAAAAAAGAATCCTATTGGGGTCCTCAAGGATCTGTGGGGGACCTCAGCTAAGGGCCTCCTCTGCTCCCTCAAAATGGGGCTCCAGCTACCACACTAGTCTTCCCTACAGACCAGGATGGGTCTGCAGTGTCCACAGCATCCAGAAGAGCAGAGCATCAAAGCAGTATGGATTTTTGAAGCATGTGACCTGCTCTCCTAGCCTGCTCCCTCTCCTGGGCTGCTCCTTTGCACCTACTCTTGCACCTATGCATGCCTGTGTGCATGGAGTGAATGTGTGTGGTATATGTGCCCATATCTGTGCACACACATGGGGCCAGAGGAGGATTTGGGGGTGTCTTGCACTATCACTTTCTACCTTATTCCTTTGAGACAGTCTCTCACTGAGGGTGTGTGTGTGTGTGTTCACACTTGGCTTTGTACATAGGTTCTGGGGAATCCAGAACCTCAGGTCCCCATGCTTGTGTGGCAAGCATTCTTAGGCACTGAGTCACCCCCCAGCCCCAATTTTTGTTTTATTGTTTTTTGGTTTTTTTTTTTTTTTTTTTTTTTTTTTTTTTTTTTTTAAGTCTCCCTGTAGCCCCAGCTGTCCTGGAACTATGTAGACCAGGTTGGTCTTGAACTCACAGAGATCTGCCTGCCTCTGCCTCCCAAGAGCTGGGGTTTTTTTGAGACAAGGTCTCCCTGTCGCCCCAGCTGGCCTGGAACTCACTATATAGATCAGGCTAGCCTCAAACTCGAAAACCTGCCCACCGTGCTGGGATTAAATGTATGTGCCACCATGCCTGGCCTCAATTTTTTTTTTTTTTTTGAGACAGGGTTTCAACTATAACCCAGGCTGGCCTCAGATTCATGGCAACCTTCCTTAGCAGCAAGACTCCTTCCTTAGCCTCTCTAGTGCTGAGGCTAACAGGTGTAAGCCACTACTCCTGGGTCCTTTTGTATTTCTTTGTTTCTGAGGCAGGGTCACGTATCCCAGGTTATCCTAAAACTATGTAGATAAGGATAACCTTGAATTCCTGATCTTGCCTTCACCTTCTAAGTACAGAGATACTGTCAGGATAATACCTGGATACTGCCCTACCCCCAGGGCCCTGCACATGCTAAGCAAGCACTCAAATGCTGAGCAACACCCTAGCCCAATTTTGTGGTTTTTGTTTTTCTTTTTTTGAGACAAAGTCTCACTATTTAGCCCTGGCTGGCCTGGAACTCTCAATGTAGACCAGGCTACCCTTGAACTCACAGAGATTTGCCTGCCTCTGCCTCCCAAGTGCTGGGATTAAAGGCATATGCTATCCAGTCCCCTCTCCTGGATTTCTGCAGTAAGCCTCAGAATTGGTTTTCCCTCCCTCCCTTGTACTGGGACAAGCACTGAGCTACAGCCCCAGCCTTGAATTGCTTTTCTTGTCACCTTTGCTTATTCATAGTAAAATGTTCACAGTATAATCACAATGATCTTTCAGAAATGAAAGTGACAGCCTGGTGTGGTAGCATACACCAGTACTTAAAGAGGTGGAGGCAGGAGGATCAGGAGTTTAAGATTAGACTGGACTGACTATGTCTCTGCTTAAAATACCTTTGGCTGGGCTGGGAGTGTGGTTACAGTGGGAGAAAGCTTGCTTCATAAGGCAGAGTTTGTTTCCCACCATGAAAGCATGTGTGTGTGTGTGTCGGGGGGTGTATTTTCTGAAGCCTCTATCAGTAAAATCCAAGGTTTTCTCCTAAGGTCTCCAAGACCTTCTGTGGCGTGTGGTGTGGGTCCCACCAATTTTTTTTTTTTTTTGATATTTTTATTTTATTTTAGTCTTTTTTGAGACAGGGTCTCCCTGTAGCCCCAGCTAGCTTGGAACTCACAGAGATCCACCTGCCTCTGCCTCCCCTGGCCAGAGAACCCAGCAACTCTACTGAACTCCCTTGCAGAGCTCACCCTCTGCCTGCCCCTGCAAACAGGACCTGCGTACCGTCTAGAGCATCCTACGGACGAGATCCAGCCCCTAGTACTCTGGAACACTCAGGACCCCAACATGTCATCTGTGAAATGGGGCTGTGCTGTCCTGTAACTTTACAATGGTCCTCGAAATGGGAGGGCTTGGATTGGAGCAAGCGCAAGCAAGTGACCCCACTGCCCAGACCCCAGATCTGAGAAAGAACCGCAGGTGTGGTCCTGGCTTTCCCATCCTGGCAAGCCGCAGGACAAAGCAAATCCCGCCTCTCCAGGCCTGCGGGAATCCGCGAAATGTTGCCTTTGCAGCCTGCCCGGCTCTGCTCACCCAGATCTTAGTGGATCCAGTGCCTGGGTTTGGCGCATCCCGGCAGCCTCTGCACTCAGCCCCGCCCCGTCGGGAGGACACGCCTCCCCCTAGAAGTCTCGCGAGCATTCTTGTGTGAACGGGGTTCCTGTAGGCTGAGACCAGGGGCGGGACGGGTCGGGGTGGGGCAGTGTCCTGAGGTAGTGCTTCCGGGCCGCTGTCTGGGTCGCCTCCGCGACGGTATCAGTGGAAGCCGTGCGGGCGGTATTCCGTGAGTCGGGCCGCTGCGCAGCGGCCCGTGCAGCCCCACCGTCGAGGCTGCGAAGACCCCGTGCAGCTCAACAGGAGGACCCAGGACCCCTGCAGCCTCAGCCCCATGACTCGGGGCTTCCAGCCCGTGCCTCCTTTGCAGGCTTGCGCTTTCCGCCCTCGAAGTCCTCGCTCCAGGCTGCGCCTCCTGCGTCGGAGCACCGCTGCAGGCCGCCTGGTCACTCTCGCTTCTGACTGTCCGCAGGCCTGGGCAGCATGGCCGTGTTCCGCTCGGGCCTCCTGGTGCTGACAGCGCCGCTGGCCACCCTGGTCCCGCGCCTGGCTCCCATCCTGACCTCCGCATCCCGCCTGGTGAATCACACCCTTTATGTGCACCTGCAGCCGGGCATGAGCCTGGGGGGCCCCGCTCAGCCCCAGGCTAGCCCCGTGCAGGCCACGTTTGAGGTTCTGGATTTCATCACGCACCTCTACGCTGGCGCTGACCTGCACAGGCACCTGGATATCCGAATTCTGCTGACCAATCTCCAAACCAAGAACACCTTTCTCCCTACACTGCCCAGTTCGGTCCAGAATCTGGCCCACCCTCCAGAAGTGGTGCTGACGGACTTCCAGACCCTGGACGGGAGCCAGTACAATCCTGTTAAGCAACAGCTAGAGCGTTATGCCACCAGCTGTTACAGCTGTTCCCCACAGTTGTCTTCTGTGCTGCTATACCCCGATTATGGGACTGGAGAGCTGCCAGCGGAGCCCCAGAATGTCCCCTTGCCTTCCACCATCAGACCAGCTTCCCCCGTTGCCAGATCTCCAAATCAGCCTGTTTGTGGTTACCACCGTGGGGCTGTGGGTGGCACGTTTGACCGCTTGCACAATGCCCACAAAGTGTTGCTCAGTGTTGCATGTGTGCTGGCCCAGGAGCAGCTTGTGGTGGGAGTAGCAGACAAAGACCTATTGAAGAGTGAGTGAGAGGGACCCTGGATTAGGGCAGTGGAGGACACCCACCAAGTTTTCTTGCTTCCCCCAGTGCCCGAGATAAAGGAAGGGTAGAGCCGCCCATGACTTCACCAAATGTCACAGTGCCTGACACTCTGTTGCTAAGGGAAACATTGTTAAATGATCACATGTAGTTTCCTCAGTGGTGGTCCACTCCCACTGAAGTCACTCACAGTCCAAATGTAAACCAAGAAATATGCACTATAGTTCTTCAAGTGATCAACTCTAAAGTTTGAGACTGTGAGTAAATGGGTAGGTGGTGAATTTAGGTGACCCGATAGTGCCATAGACAGTGAGGGGATGCAAGGATGGAGTGTTTCTTGGAATTCTCCATCTAGCTGATGCCCACTGGCAATTTCTCTTGAAGCAGTTTCGTGGTGGCTTCTCTGGCCACACGCCAGCCCTTGGAGAGACTATCTATGGTGCTTGTGTTTCCCATCATTCCCCTCTCCCCCCAGACCTTCCCAGTTTCACCCTTTCTTGCTGCCACCCCCCCCCCAGGGGATTCCAGTGCTTAGGAATACTCTTTCCCAAATGAGCCCACACTTGTACCCCAGTTAAAGAGCTCACTGTTGTTCTCGGCTCTTTCCCCAGGCAAGCTGCTCCCTGAGCTGCTCCAGCCTTATGCAGAGCGTGTGGAACATCTGAGTGAGTTCCTGGTGGACATCAAGCCCTCCCTGACTTTTGAAGTCGTCCCCCTGCTGGACCCCTATGGGCCGGCTGGCTCTGACCCCTCCCTGGAGTTCCTGGTGGTCAGCGAGGAGACCTATCGTGGGGGGATGGCTGTCAACCGCTTCCGCCTTGAACATGTAACCCTGAGGGAGACTGACAGAGGGAATGGGAGGGGGAAAGCCATTGTGGGGCCTGTTGGAAGTACTGTTGCCTCAGAGCAGGGTAGGGAGGGTTCACGGTAGAAGCCAGAAGGAACTGCCTGCTGTTGGAGGAGGAGAGGGGTAGGTAGGGAGAGTAAAGGGCACATTGGGGCTCCACATTCATCCTCCTTCCTCTTTTTCTACCCTACCCTCTTTACCTCAGGGCAAGGAGGAGCTTGCCTTGTACCAGATTCAGCTGCTAAAGGACCACAGTCACAATGAAAATGAAGAAGACAAAGTCAGCTCCTCCAGCCTCCGACAGCGCCTTCTGGGAAACCTCCTTCGGTCTCCAAATGTAAGCCTTCCCTCCCTCCCTCCTCCTCCTCCTCCCCAGGGTATGCTGGAAATGTTGAAAAGCAGAAACAGGGATTGAGCTCCAAGCAGGAGCCTGAACACCCCGTATTTGAATTTCCCACTCATCTGTCTCCAGGAGAGGCCAGAGCTCCCACCAGGTCTTTATGTGCTTGGGCTGACTGGCATCAGTGGCTCTGGGAAGAGCTCAGTGGCTCAGCTACTGAAGAGCCTAGGAGCATTTATCATTGACAGTGACCACTTGGGCCATCGGGCCTATGCCCCTGGAGGCCCCGCCTACGAGCCTGTGGTGGAGGCCTTTGGAACAGGTACTAACTGGGGAGTGGTAGAAGTGATCTGAGGTGAGAAGATAGCCCTGACTTTTTGCTTAGCCTTCTTTGTCTGTCACCCAGATATTCTCCATAAAGATGGCACCATCAACAGGAAGGTCCTAGGCAGCCGGGTATTTGGGAGCAAGGTAAACACCTTTCCAAGGACTCCTCAGCTGCTATCAGATGCATGGGGTGGGGTCCAGTAGACTCCCTAGTCTGTCCTGGGAAGGCATTTTCTGCTCATATCTTCCCAACCCCCATCTCCCAGGCTGCCTCCATTTCTCAAGGAAGGTAACCTCTGCTCACTCCCTGTCCCCCTCCCCAGAAGCAGCTGAAGATCCTCACAGATATTATGTGGCCAGTTATCGCAAAGCTGGCCCGAAAGGAGATGGATCTGGCTGTGGCTAAGGGTGAGTGGGAGGGATGATGGTAGCAGCCAAAGGGGACAGTTAAAGAGCAACTCCTCTGGGATCTTCCTTGTCCCAGGTGGAAAGTCGCTTTTCCTGAGACTGTGTTTGGTGGACTTTTTGACGGCAAGTGTCAGGGTGTTGCTGGCAGTGACTAGGATTTCCCCACAGGAACGACTGTGTGTGTGATTGATGCTGCCATGCTGCTTGAAGCCGGCTGGCAGAACATGGTACATGAGGTGTGGACCATTGTCATCCCTGAGAGTGAGGTATCTGGAGCCCACCCTACCCGCTCCCCACTGCAGAGAGTATCCTGCTCTGATCCAGTAGGCTGAGTTGGGATCCTTCCTACTAAGTGTGTCATCTGTGCCCAGGCTGTACGACGCATTGTGGAGAGGGATGGCCTGAGTGAGGCTGCCGCTCAGAGCCGGCTTCAGAGCCAGATGAATGGGCAGCAGCTTGTGGAACAGAGCCATGTGGTTCTGAGCACCTTGTGGGAACCACATGTCACTCAAGGCCAGGTGGGTGCCCAGTGAAATACTAGATTGTGAGAAGGGATGTCAAGTGGTTGCCTGCCTGACTCTCTTTTCTCTTACCATTTTGAACTGCCCAAAGGTGGAAAAAGCCTGGAATCTTCTACAGAAGCGCATCACCAAGACTCATCAAACCCAGGACTGACAATGAGTTTTCTGTGAAGCCAAGTTGGCCCCTGGAGCTGACAGACCCAGTGGTGAGGACAGGGTCCTTCGTGCTCACCCTGTCTCAGGCCTAGAGGGCTTCAAGCTAAACTGTGCAGGACACAGCTAGGCCTGGAAGCCTGCCTAGTATGCTGGCATTTTACCAGCAGTGAGGATGTGGCTGATGGGGGAGCAGGCCCCTCTAGGGTTTCAATCCTTTCTTGGGTGGTGGATGTCTCATGCACTGTTGATGGGTCATGATAAACACTGGAACTTGGAATTAAAGATGATTGTTTCAAGTGTGAACTGTATGATTTCTGCTTCCTGCTCCACTGCCTCCTGGGATCTCTGGATTTTTAGGCTACAGATTGAGGGGTAAAGGCCTTGGAAGCCCAGCAGTGCTTTGGTTAAATGTACAGCTTTTCAAGCTAGCCAGATTGACTAGCTGTGTGCTTTTGAATAAGGTGCTCTTTCCTACCTATAAAGCAGCATAACAGGCCATTGACAACGTCTAATGCCACACATGCCCTGCCAGACACTAGCCAGAACGTTCAGAGTTCAATGCTGGGGGGGGGGGGGC